TCCAATTTGTTATATTTTTTTAATTATCAAAACAAAAAGACCTTATGATAAAATGGAATTCATTAAAATATAAAAAACCAAAACACGCAAAATTACTGCAAAATATCACAGGTAAAATTCTAATATTGTCTGCAATTCAAAGGGTGTACCTGACAGCTAAAAACGTGTGCTTATTCCCGTGAGTATATTGCGTATTCCTCACAAGTTCGTTGGTTTATGACCGCTTATTTCAACGAAAATTTGTTCAAGGAAACCTTTCGAGATGCCCAATAAATTTTTTAGATAAATTTTTATTACATATAGCAAACTATAATAATTTTAGATAAATTACAAGAAATTTTCTTTAAAAAGTTAATTGGGTTAAGAAGTTACTTTCTTTTTTTAATATGCAAATGAGTGATTCAACGCGTTTCATCGACTTTCGGGGACGGGGAACAACCCTATTAATAACAGATAAAAAATATCGAACCCTTCCATAAAAACTTTAAAAAATGACAATATTTAAGAACTTTTGAAAAACTAAAACCAAAAAATTAAGAAAACTAGAAAACTGAGTATTACTGATTGTGAGTATAAATGAGTATTAAAAATCAGAAATCTTAAGAAAATCCAAATAAACGTAGAGTGGTAATTAGTGGTTCAGAAACCTACCCAGTGTTAAAAAGAAAATTCTTTATTAAGGAAAGTAGATATTTGTAACATATAGATATTTGTAACTTCAATTTTAAATCATTCCTAAATCATTTGAGATTTTAACTTTGTAAAAAGACGAACATGTTCTCTGTTTGCACATTTTTTGAGAAATATCTTTAAAAAATTTTAGAAGAGTATTATTATTCAATTAAAATAATCAAACCCTAAGACGTCCTTGTAATGGTGTTAAAAGTGTTTCTGGATGTCTTTCACTCGATTTCAATAATTTAATTGCCTCTTCAGTTGATAAAAATAATTGTTGAGCTAAATGCAGCCGAACACCGGCATCCTCAAACTGTTCATTGGAGAGGCGTAACATTTTTTCTAAATTCACACCTTTTGTCGTCCCTTTACCTGCTTTAGGTTTTTTAACATCCATTTGTGCCAAATCATCTAACAACTAAAAAATTAATTTAAAAAATTTGAAATTTTTAAACTACTTCAATTGCAAAAGCCAATGCCGGCACAAAAACATTACAATCTCTTTGAATATTTAACAACATTCGAAGACAATGAATTCTAATGGGCAAATATTTTGATGAAGGAAAAAGTCTTAAATTTGAAAAAATTAATTAAAAATTAAAAACTACCTTCCCATAATTAAAACAATTTCAACTAAAGGATGTGTTAATTCTTTAAACCAATTATTTCGACAATCTTCATCAAAATTATTGGTAGAAGAGGGTTTTTCTTCAGTTGTTATTGATGTAAATCGTTGTGTACCTTCACAAATGAGTGATGTCCAAAGTAGCAAACCTTTCAAAAATTGCCAATTATAAACACGTTGAATAAGATCCTAAACAAAAAAGTAATATTAGAGAACTATAAATTCAACAACTTTTAACTAAAATTGAAAATAACTAATTAAAAATAATCAATTTCTCATAAATACTCTCCAAAAACCTAGTTAAAATAGAAAATTCAAAAATTCTAATCAGAAAAATAAATAAAAAACCTTTCGTTTAGCAATCATAGCATTTCGAATATGTATAGCAAATTGTCTGATATAAACAAACGCATATTGATAAGCTAATTTAGGATACATAAGTGTAAATTCAATAAAAGAAGCCTTCATAAAATTAATAAACGGAAGTGTTTCTTCATTAATTAATTTACAATTAGCTATAAAAGCAACATAACAACTCTAAAGAAAATTTTAACTAAAAAATAAATAATAAAAGAAACTTTATAAATTTTTGGAAAAAAATTTGAATCCATTCGCGAAATTTTACAAAGAACAACAAAAGCAATACAGCGAGCCTCTTCTATTTGTTGTTGACTCCATATTCGTACAAGACACTAAAAAAATTATTTTGAAAATATTTAAATACAAAATCTTTACTTTAATAATATTTTTGGTAAGTTTTGGAAAATGTATAAATAAATCAACTAAATCGGCCACAGCTCGAATTGCTGCTACAATCACTTGATTTGAGTTGAGTTCGAGTAAAAACTGAATTTGTTATCGTTAGATATTTTTAATAATTTTTTAAATTATTTTTAAAATCCCCCTCCTAACCCCTGGCTAGGGGGAATTTGCCTACTCATAAATGCTTAATCATTAAAAATTGCATTTTTCATAAAAATTAATGTTAGAAAATTTACTATATGAACTGCTTCCAAGTAGCATTTTGTAAGAGATTTATGTCGTTGCCAATTTTTAAAATGGGAGCACTTTTTATATTTATTTTTTTGATCGTCTTTAATGCTTTTCTTGACAGGATTTAATAATCGATAAAGTGCTCTTCCCATTGTTTGAAAGCAAAGACGAAGAACACGATCAAAAACTTAAAACAAAATTAAAAAATATAATTGTAGTTCAGTAAATACTTTGTTCATCATACACAACATAATCCAATTTTTCATCCTTTGTCAGTTTTGAGTAACCACCACCTACTCGAGCAATACAAGAAATAAAAGCCTTTACAGATGTCTCCACCGCATATCGAAAAGTTGCTTTTCCAACAGAATCAGGATCAGTAAGCACAGACTCAAGAAAATCAACAAGTTCATCCGATAAAATTAAACGTCCAGTTTCTGGATCAGGCTTTAAAGAAACGCTGGAATGACCATCCCCAGACTCTGAGATATGTTCTGAAATTAAAAAAATTGTGAAACTAATTCGAGTAATTTAAATTCAAGATAACCTTCATTTTTACTTATTTCATCATCAGATAACTCGTCATCCTCTTTTTCGCCCTCAATTTCATCCCTATCATTATCTTGCTCGTCAAAAATATCGGCTTCCTCTTTCTTTAAAAATTGATAAAGTTCAGGATCGCGTTCAGCAATTTCAGCTAATTCTTTATTAAATGAATTAATATCTTCTGATTCATCAGATAAATTAAATTTTCTTCTCTTTTTCGCTTTAGACGTTAAATTTACTGCAACTTTTCGTTTTTTAAGAAGCATACTATAATAATTGCTGTAAAATTTTAAGATGGTGTAAATTATTTTAAAAACAAAGTAAAAATTAAAATATATTCAAATATTTTGCTTAAAAGTATACAAGAAATTAAAAAATAAATTTATTTGCTTTAATTTAAATCATAATTATTTATTTATAAAAATTGAAAAAAAAACAAAATTGATAAAACTAAAATTTTTATCGTTTACGTTTTATCTCTCGATACGAAGCAGGCGGCGCAAATTCCTCATCACGGTCCTCACGTTGTGCCTCAATCCAACGCATATGCCCTACTTTTCCTCGATCCCATTCACGAACACCAAACTTTTTAGGTTTTTCCTCTTCTTTAGCCATTTGATTGTCTATAACATTAGATTCAGCAGGTGTAGATGAACTTTGAATATCTCCATTAGTTGGCAATTCTTGTTCCTCCTCTTCATCACTGCTTTCTAATAATGGCATTCCCATCCTTAAAAATAAATTTGAAGTGTTATAGAAAACAATACTTTGAAATACCTTTGACGAATTTTATTTACTCTATAACGTTCTTCTTCCTTTTCTGCATTTCTTTGTAATTTACGCTTATTCCGCTCAATTTTTGTTTCCTCTGTCATTGATTTAAGTTCAGCAATTTTCTTTTCACGGGCTTCTTCATTTAATGTTGGCAATGGGACATGAGATGCACCAAAAACGCGTCCCTTTTCCTCGAATGGATCATAATGAACAACTAATGGTGCCTCTTTTACTCTAAAATTAGTAAATAAACAAGAAAATTTAGTAACCAAAAATTTAATTTGAAAATCCACCGTCCCCAAAATTTAATTTAAGAAATATATAAAAAACCTCTGCCTTTCATCATCATCGTCTGACCTTCTCAATTCATCATCTGTCAAGTCATCATTTTGTGTACATGATGATGAACATCCAGTTTCAAGTTCTTTTTTCTTATTATGAAAATCAACTAAAAACTCTGCCTCCCGACCATCCTCATAAGTTAATTTTTCTCCATGGCTCATTCTTTCATAAATGAGTGCCTTCTGCTCAAGAATTTGTTGTTGTCTTAACCGTTGCTGTTCTTCTTTTCGGATTTCTTCCTCATTTTGACGGATACGTTGAGCTCGACGTTCTGACAATTGTTGTTTGGCTTTCTTTTCCTCTTTTGTTATTGCCAAAATATTTTTCTTATTTTTAAGAGTAGAATTAGAATAAATATGTGAAGCTTGTTTTCCAATTAAAGCAGCATCTCGACGTTTAATAAACTCAGCTTTAAGATCTAGGAAGGATCCAACATCATCAGTGTGTAAAAAATTAGGAGGCTCATCGACTTTCTGGGATGTACCTTCTTGCATCTTTAAATTGAAATATAAAAAACAATAATTTAATAAAATTTATTTTAAAATTTATTAATTAAAATTTTAATTTGAAATTTTAATTGAATTTTAATTAAATTTTAAATTGACATTTTTAATACTGACATTCTAATATTTAGTTTATCTGACATTTTTATCTTTCAACTCTGCGTGCTTGTCGAGAAAGTGGATCGGCGCGCGGCCACAACGGCGCAAAGCCATAACTTGCTTCAAGATTTCCGATTCTTAACAAATTTAGTATTAAACGATTCCTGCCATCGAGCTAAAGAGATTGATACCAAAATTGATAAGGGCCAGAAATTTTCCAGCAAGTTTTGGCTTAGCGCCTTTATGGCCGCGCGCCTACTTGGGTGTGTCCCCGAAAAAGTCAGTAACCCTAGAGATAACTTGTATAGGGAAAAATTATTGTTAACAATTAAATTTCGTGCGCAAGAAAGAGGCGGGGGGTTTTACATAGAATTTGCTTTGTTTATTACTATAATTATCATATTGTATTTATTTTCTATTATGTAGGGATTTAATTTATATAAATGACTGCATCAGCTAATACCGAATTGCCTTCTGACTCGGAATTGGTTGTTCCGCAGGAGCTTACGCTCTCTACACCTTGGCTTAAAGCTGTAGTTGTCTATATGGGTGCTAAATGTGAAAAGGAAATGAATGTTGGTTATTTTTAAATTTATTTTTAATTTGTTTAATTAATTTAGGAATTCATGCTTTTACGTCGAGAGTATGGGAATGACCCTCGAAAGGTGTTAAAAGAGGGTAGAGAAGTAACTGCATGTGGTGTTAACTTTATTAGGGAACTTCGCAGAAACTGTCTTAAAGAGGTGACTGACTACGCAAAATGTTTGGATGATTGTCGTGGAGGTGAAATGTTGATACCTTAGTAAGTTTTTATTTTTTTCTTAAAAATTTTTTTCTTAAATTTTAGTTGTCGACGTCTTCAATATCCATTAGACATTTGTGTAGAAGAAAAAATGGGCATAAAACGTCCAACGGTTGGATATTTTAGTAAATTGCATGTACACGAAAGTCAGAAAGAACAGCCTCCAAGACGTAAATTTTAAAATTTTGAAATTATTATTTTTAAAATTTTCAGCTGAATATCCGCGTAATTATCGTGAGGAATTCTCTAAAGTGATGGATGAATTGCCTGAAAATTATCCTATTAAATTAGACAATTATAAGAGATACCGGCCATATTATAATACTTTTACCGAAAACGATTAGAGAAGTATTGGAAGTTTATTGAAGAGTTATTTAGGGATTTTTTTTGTTTGTAAAATTGATAAATATTATTTTTGTTTTTTATAATATTTGGTTTATTTCCAATATTTTTTTCTTTATTTTTTTACTAAAGACATGAATTGAAGCGATTTTTAGATTTTATACAAGAAATCAAATACATCTCTTATTTGCATTAGTATTTTTGGCGTTGTCTTCAATGGGCGTTCACAAATGTAATTTTTATGACTTTAATTTATCCATGGTTTCTAGTTAACTAACTTAAAGTTACCCACAATATCCCCATAATATATGTTTCTAATGATACGAGGGATCCCTTTCGTTGTATGTTTTAATAAATAAAAATTTGGAACGTTCAAACTAAAGTAGATCGTGACCAGTTTACGAATTTCACGGTTTTCTAATACCACGATTTTATGGTCACGCATGGAAATTAAAATTCAGTCCAAATTTACACTATTAAGGACAGGGTAACTCAATCACGATCTTTATAAAGAATTATTACGCTCTATTCTAGTTTAAAATAGGGTTTTATCTTGAATTTTTAAAAATACCCTATTTGAGCTAAAAAGTTTTATATCAAAAAATGCGCAAAAACTTTTTGGCGCCTTCACGCAAAAAATTGAAACAAAAAATTTGAATTTTTGTGCCGAATGCGCAAATTTTAAGGATTTTGGAAGGCCTTGCGGAGAAAAATGACATTTTATTCTAAAACTACAAGAAAATATAAAAAATCCTCATCGACCTATCAAAAAACACAATGGCGAAAAATCCGCACGTTCCGTAACCTTTGCTTAAACTTCTTTACCTCCTTTTTTAAATTAATTTAAACTTGTAATTTTGGCACTTGAATTGGCATTCGAATTGATTTTTTTAAAACTTTTTCTTCATAATCTCAAAAGTGGTTCATAGATCAAAGTTTATGTTTGTCTTTCTATTTATTAATTTTTAGTTTTAATATTAATATTTAATTAAAATGATAAGACTTAAAAAAGTTGACAAAAATATCAGATTTACCCGTGTGACTTGTGGTTTAAATAATTTAATTATATTTTTTTAAATATTTTTTTATAGCTGTTGTTGCTCTTTCTTTGGCAAGTGTTGTTGGTCTTACATTTTTGGTACTTTCTTGTGCTTTGCCGACTTTCAAGTTTATTTTTTTGTTTATATCCGATTATTTAATTTTCAGGGGTAATTGGTGGCCAATTTTTGTTTTGGTGTTTTATATACTTTCCCCTTTGCCAATTTCTTTGGCCAAACATTTTCGTTATGATGTGGGACCAACATCTCCAACTATTGAGCTTGCAGTATTTGGGACGACTGGTATTGTGCTATCGGCGTTTGCATTGCCTTTTGTTTTGGCACATGTTGGAGTGGTTAGTTTTAAAATTGGTTAATAGGATAAGAATTTTTGTGGCAATTTACCTCTTTTTATCAGAGTTCGGGGTTGTTTCTTTTAAAATTGTTTCTAGTTAGTATTAGAATACTTTAAAACTATTACAATTGGGAACACCTTTTTGGTGGGACACAGCTTTATATTTCCATTAAAGACCTCGATATCGCTAGGATTACTTCATTTTTGATTTATCTATTCTAGTTCTGTTTGTCCGCAATTATTTTAAAAAAACTTTTCTAGCTACCTTTCTTTGTTTTTTATTTTTAACTTAATTAGTCTAATTTTATTTTGTTTCTTTTTTCGTTATTGTTTGTATTTTTTAGATCAAATGGACTGCTTTTATGCTCTCCAGCATTGGCTCTGTTAGTATTTTCTCTACCATCTTTGCTTATTTCTTAATGCAAAATGTTGAAGAAAATGGTGGTTGGGGAACTTCCATGATCTAAAAATGAGACTATAACGTAGGTTTATGTAAATATATTTTGTGTTTGTTTTACATTCCTTAGTTAATTTTTGTTTTGAATTTATTAAAATCATTCAACATCGAATTTTTTAATTTTTGAATGCTTTTGAGTTTATATAAAAAATTTTTTCTTTTTCAGATTGCGACTGGCGCATGTTTTCTCGTCTATGTAGCAAATTTATGTATATTTTTAACAATTTTTGGGATCCATAAATACTTCAATTTACTCGAGGGTTCCTCTGCCATCTTCTAAAGAATAATTAAAACGAACAATTGACTATAATTATTTTAAATAAAAAAAACTTGACACCTACATTTTGGGACATTTTAAAGTATTTACTGATTATACGTCCATTTTTAAGTCCTTTTTCTTTGTTATTGACATTAATGAAAATCAAAAAAAATAAACGTTTCTATAAAGCATTTAATTAAAATTGCATAACCAGTAATTACTTTATTTTACTAAAAAGGATGAGCCTTCCTGATTTTTTTTTTGAAATTATAAAACAAATTTTATTTACTCTTTAGAACCACATGGGAATGAGCTCATCCTTCGATTAATTGTAAATATTTAACAAATATATTTGGAATAAAATATTTTAAAAGTATCAGAAGAAATTCTTATCCTTTTAGTTAATCATATAGCCACGGATATAGGGATGAATATAAAGTATCTAAAAACATACAATGAGAAAATTGGGGCGGGGGCCTGTGTTTATCCTTTTGTTTTTAAATAACATTAATGTAAGATAACATATATTTCAAACAAAAATATTTTAAACTTGGATTTTCATTTCTATATATAATATAGTATATTTTTACTTTTTATATTAAAAACAATCTTTTTATAATGAGAGAGAGAGATCTTTTTTAACTTTTAAAATTTCTTTTTAATTTTATCCACTTCTTTGTAATCGAATATCCGAATCAACTAATTTTCTGTATTTGCTCATATCATGATGAATCATACACTGAATAGGTGTAAAGAAACAATTCCTTGCCCCTATTGGATCTCGAATTGAACGAATATTTAAAATTCTATTTAAATTTCCTTCATTTTCTGTTATTTCTTCATTGCCAATTTCTTCTTGTTTTGATGATTTTTTTGTTAAAGATAGTGGACGTTCAGAATAATCATCAGTTTTGATTTGAGACATTGTTAATCTTTTATCTCCAGCATCGTTATTATTTACAAGCTCGAATGGCAACTTTGCATTCTAAATTTAAATTAATTAGTAGAGGCCGGATTAATTAGGTTCAAAAAAATATAAAAATAGGTTGCAAAAAAAGATTAACATATGTAGCGGGCAAAGATTGGCTTGAATTTTTATTTTCTAACCAAAAATTTCCTCTTACCGGTGGCAATTCAGGCATTTCAATTACTACAAGCGGAGGCTTTAGCAATGCTTTATGATCTCCCGTGGCTGTAGCTACAAGTAATTGTTTGTGGGCATCATCAACATTCTTTAAAATATTAAATGAATATAAATAGGTATTTTAATAAAAGGGGAAATCTTTGAATGTCCATGACGGATCAATCTTATTTTTGGTGTGCCAAAGACACAAAAAGATTCCCTCTTTAGGATAAAATTTTTTTTATCAAAAATTTACCTGTAAACTAAGCAATCTTCCGACCAAATATCTGAAAAACAAAAATGTACAATTGTATTAGCTGTCCTTATTTTCCTTTTTATGAAGGGAAAATGTTTTAGACATTAGACGAGATAGTAACAAATAGGGCATTGCGATCAAATTAAAATTATTAATTCTGTCAGTTATGCTTCAAGATATCGAAACAAAGAATAAATCATAAATTAGTATCAAGTATATGAATAGTTTTTCGAATAAACCAAGACCATTAGACTATTTGGTCCAAATTCGTTGTTAATAAATGTATTTTTAATAAACCATTTTTGACCTTTGTAAGGTTTTAATTTAATCTAAACACATCCAACCAGTTTCAAACTGACTTCATTCGACTCATTGTCAGTTTGATAAAACGTCGAATGAGCTAGCATTTGTGTATTTTTAAAAAGTAAAGGGGAGGAAAATTGGTGGGGCATAACGCATAAGAGATGGGCCCTTCCGCATTTTTGCGAGAGATGGAAGGCGGGAGAGATCCCATCCTGGCACATAATACCAAAAAATATTTGTATTAATTTTAATTTATAAATTTACCCATTAGCTGTCTCTAAATATGCAAGGAAGACAAGTAAAAATGAGCTAAATAAAGGCGTATATTTGTTGAATTTTTGAAAATGATACATTTTATTGAAATAATTCTTTAAATAGATTTTTAACTTAAAAAAATAAATTTAAAATTATTTAAAGGAATTATGAGGATTTTTATATAAAAGTTCAGGGAAGGAAAGTCCAAAGAACCAAAATGAACCATTACTTTCATTAACCAAAAATTTTTGGTTAGGTTTAAAAAGCTGTCCTTCCCCTCCTTTTCTTTTCCGCCTTTTAGCATTTTTGACCTCTTTATATCTAAAAAATCCAATTAACAAAAATGCCTCTAGCAAAGCCTTCCCAATTTAAAGAATTTTTTTCTACTTTCTGATTGGTCGCCCACGCGGCGGCTATTTTGACTACTTAAAATATTCTTTGCTTTAATTATATAAGGAAAGTCTTCTTCTTATTTTAGACTTTATATAAAGTAAATTTTGGCATTTTTTATTACGTAAATTTTTTTTGTTCAAAGATTGATAGACAATTAACAATCATCAAAAAATTATTTTTTTTAAGTTTTAAATTATTCTAAAAATGGAAATTATTTTTAATTAACCTAATAAAAAGAGTAAAAATTAAAAAGAAAAAATAATTATTTTCTGAAAATTTATTTAAACAAAAGTCTTCATATAAATATTGGTATTACCAACAAATATCTTATAAGTAGAGCGTGTTTTTAGGTAAAAAAAATAGTGAAATAGGATCCTATTTAGGCCAAAAAATTCAAAAATAGGTTCAAAAAATCCGAGAAAGGCCAAAATAGGTCCAAATTTTGACTAAATAGGTTCTAATTTAGATTAAGATTGAATCTTCCTTGATTTCATATTTACTAAATTTGAATTTTTCTGAAATTTTTTATTTTAAATAAAAATTTATAGAAATTTTTGAGACATCTCTCCGTGCATAACCCTGACTAACTGAGCCTTAGGCTTTGAGGGTATCGAGATACTATAAGAGGAGTTGATTGTTGTGCAGAATATATACACGTTACTCTTGTGATGTCGAGTTAACAAAAGAATTAGAAGTACACAGCGGGGTAGTAAGATGAGGAGTCAAAATTAAAAAAATAATACCATTAAACATTTAAAAAATAAAATGCTTGAAATAAATTGAAAAAAATAAATCTTAAAATAAAGCTTTTATAAATGAAAGTGACAACTAAAAATATACACATATTAGGATTAAAAATATAAAAATATTATAATTAGCACATATTGTTATAATTTATTGGTCATTTAAGGACAAATTATCTCCATTTTTGTAAATTTTATTCATTTACGTAAATAAAAGGACAAAATAAATTTTTAAAAATAATTCCACCAACGCAAATAAAATACTCAAGACATTATTTTTTCATTTATAAAAAGGGAGGAAACATCCAGACAAAAACATTTTTTATACGTAAACCTCCCAAGCAATCAACGTAATTAACAACGGAAATACATTAAAAAGAATTTTTCTTTCCCGTTGTTTTTGTTGTTTCTCTTGAATTAATTAAAACATTTAATAGGTTCTGGAATTGAATAATCCAATTTGTGTTTAGCTATAAGGACAAACATAAATAACAAATGATGGTATTCGACAGCTAAGGGAGATATAGAAAATCCCCTTGAGAGTTTATATGGTGAAAAGGAAAGATGTGACAGTTACATATTTTTTAATTTAGGTTAACAGTATAATTAAAAACGAATGACTTGAAAGCGATTAAAAGTGTAATAATATGCAAATAAAATGATGGGGGCAAAACACCGTCCGACTAAAACACTGTCCCGACATTTGAATAAAAATATATTTTATTTTTATTTTATAAATTCGATTTCTGTTGATATTACGTTATCTATTTTTAGACCTTATAACTAGGTATTTAGTCTTGGTTAGTACTCCTATGGATAAAAATTTTATTTTAATATTTGGTTACTCTATGTGAAATGGAAGGTATTTTTTCTCTACTATGTGAACGGTGTTTTGGTTGAATCGGCCTGGATAACGGGAAGGTGCGAATTGAGAAGGATGTAGTGGATAATAACATGAAGGGTGTAAAGTAATGGTGGGATAAGTTGTTTTGTGAACAATCGAGAGGATAAGATAGAAAGTTTACTACTGTCAGTCTGTAAATTTAGTATTCGCAACTTTTCAAACTTCGCCCACAAAAATAAATAATTTAAACATTGGCATTTTGTTTATTTCAAAGAATGAAGTCAGAATTTTTGGAATTTTTGCTAAAAGTTACTAGACGTCCTCTTACATTTCTAAATAATTTATTTTAATTTTACAGATTATTTTGACATATTAATAATTAAAAATATGGTTGAGTCTGTTATTTTGTCTAAGAAGCCTAAAAAGAACAAAAGGTTTTATTTTATATTTTTTGTTACAAAATTAATTTAAAGTTTCTTAATATTATTTTTGATTAAATTCTTTATTTTTTGTTAAATGACGAAATTTAAAATATAGAATATTTTTGACCTTTTGGAAATAATGAATAATTAATTGAGTTATTTAAATTCGCAAGAATAGTTGCAGTTTTTTCTTATTTATTTTCGAATTATTAAAAATTAATTTTTTTAGAAAATTAGTAGAAGATGAAGAAGAGGAGGATCTTTCTCTTAATGTCAAAACAAGCAAAAAACAATCGTTACCAGATTCTTTATTATCAACATTCTCTGAGGATGGGGGACAAATACGTGATTTAAATATTTTAAAAGAAAGATTGCAAGATGTTATTCAAATTCTTGGAGATTTTAAAAATAGAGCTGAACCTGGACGTAAAAGGAAGGATTATTTACAAGTATTTTTTTTAATTTTTATTTTTTAATTTATTTTTTTTTGAAGATGTTTTTAAAAGATTTGTGTGCTTATTATAATTATAATGAATTTTTAATGGAAAAATTTATGAATCTTTTTCCAAACGGAACTGAGGTTTTTATTGATTTTAATTTTTAAATAATTGTTTTTAAATAGTTAATTGAATTTCTTGATGCAAATGAACATCAGAGGCCTGTTACTATTCGAACTAATCCATTGAAAACAAGAAGAGGAGAACTTGCAAAATCATTGGTATTAAATATTATTTTGGGAATGAATTTTTTAATCAAATGAGAGGATGGGGGGGGGGGGTTAACATTCTACCTCTGAATCGGATTCTTTTTTAATTTTTCGCAATGGCGATTATTTAACTAATAATTTTATTAATAAATTAGATTGCTCGTGGAATGAATGTAGATCCAGCAGCTAAATGGACAAAAGTTGGGTTAATTGTTTATGATTCTCAAGTTCCCGTTGGTTAGTAAATATATTTTTCTAAATTAAAAAAATATTTAGGTGCAACGCCTGAATATTTGGCTGGACATTACATCCTTCAAGGACTTTCTTCATTTTTACCAGTTATGGCACTTGCACCACAACCTAATGAAAGAATTTTGGTTTCTTAAACTTTTTTATAAAATTATTTTATTTTTATTAGGATATGTGTGCAGCACCTGGTGGTAAAACAACACATATTGCCTCTTTAATGAAGAATACCGGCGTTTTATTTGCCAATGATTCTAATGTAAAATGTTCTATAAACATATTCAAATTCTAATTTTTTTTAGATCGGATAGCTACGTTTTTCCCAACAATGTTTCATTTTCTGGGCTTTAAGGAACAAATCCATTTCTATTATATTTTTTGTATTTCGGTGATTGTGTTCCGTTAAAATTCCATTTTCCAAATTAATTTATTTCCTCTATTTCCCCTTAATTAAAAATTCTTATTTATTTTTAGCCATCAAGAATTCACGGGATAATTGGAAATATTCATCGAATGGGCGTAAATAATTGTGTTGTAAGCAATCTTGATGGTACAGAATTTGCTAAAATCCAAACACATTCTTTTGATCGAGTATTACTGGATGCTCCATGTTCAGGTACAGGTGTTATATGGAAGGATGAACGTGTTAAAACTACAAAGGTTTTTAATATTGAATTTTTAAAATTAAAAATTTTGAAGGACTACGAGAATATAAAAGAACGTTTTACACTTCAAAAACGTTTACTTTTGGCAGCAATAGATTCAGTTAATGCACATTCTGGGAAAAATGGAGGTTATATTGTTTATTCGACGTGTTCAGTTTTGGTTGAGGAAAATGAAGCAGTTATTCAATATGCTTTGGGTAAAAGATATGTTAAAATAGTTCAAATGGGTTTGGATGTTGGAGTGCCCGGATTTACAAAGTAATTAATTAAAAAATGTTTTTGTTAAAAATATAATTGGGAATTTAAAATACAAATACTTTTTTGAGAATTTATTTGAAGAGGGTTCTAAAACAGGGCTGGGCGTAATGAAAAAATAAAAAGCGAAATGCGAAACTTTTCGCGCTAAAAAATGCGAAACGCGAAATAAGCCCAGCCCTGTTCTAAAGGGAGGAATTGGCATATTTAATGAACATAATTAAATAGGGGTTTGAGGACAGTCACTATTTTTGAGAACTTTCACTCCATCTTTGTCCTTCTTGGGTTTTAAAAAAATTTTCTTTTCCTCCAAATATCTATTTTTTTCAAAAAGATTTCGAGAATATCGTTTTGATCCATCAATGCAAAATACTCGTCGTTATTACCCACATGTGCACAATATTGACGGGTTTTTTGTTGCAAAACTTCGCAAAGTGTCAAATGAAATAAAGAAGAAAAAAGAGAAAAATCAAAAAGACGACGAAGAAACTAATAAATCAAAAAATAAGCAAAATAAAGGAGGAAGTAGAGAGTAAATTGAACAAGAAGATATGGAACAAGATGAGGACGAGGGGGAAGACGAAGATGAGAACCAATCTGATTGAGATAATTATTTTCTAAATTTGTTATATATTTTGAATAACTATAAAATGTTTTTTGTCAAGTCTAGACTCTGCCAGTATTATTTTACGTTTAAAAATCGAAAAAAATCAAACACATAATCGGGAAAGACGAACGCGGGAAAATCAATAAAAATTTGTCAGAACATGGTACTTTCGATTTTCGGGGTAAAACACGGAATAGTGTGGATTTTCCCATTCGGATCGCTTTCTCCAGTCGACAAATTGATCCAGAAAACCTAATAAAAACAAAACGTTCTTCTCGTGAGACATTAAATTTTATTTAAATAATTAGGATGGATGGCGAATACAATAAATTAAAATAAAATCAAAAAATGAGAAATTGTCTCAAAATAATTTCGCCTCCTCCTTTTCAAATTAGCCTTTAAGGCATTCATTTGGTCTTCGGCTGCTCGCCAGTAGTCGTTGCAGTCGCGTTGCCCGGCTTGAAGTCAATCGGGATGTTACGCTTCCCTTCACCGTCACGATGAGCAGTAACACACAAGCGACCAGCGTTGTCCATCTCGCACCTTAACGTTTAAATTAAAAATGGTTATTTCACACTAAAAGAACTCACTTAACAGTCTCCTGTTTAACTCCTTCCGGAATGTAGACGCGACGAACAAACTGACGGTGAACAGATTCGCCTAAATCTAAAGTTTAACTATTGGAACTACTATCAAAAATAACCTTGATTCTCCTCGCGATGGTCCCCAGAGATGACAACCTCGTTCCCATGAACTTCAACCTTCAACTCCTCAGGACGGAAGCCAGAAGCGTCGACCTTATAGGTGAAGTCCCCATTAGGCTCAATCTTCATTTGAGCAGCATGGTCACGCATCTGTCAAAGCAAAGATTACCAAAATGAAGTTTAAAGATTTTAAACAAAACCACACCTGGAATCCGACGCGGTCATCAAAGTAACGGTCAATAGATTGCATCCAACGGTCCATCTGTTCTAATGGGTCAGCCATCCAATGACGGCGGTGTCCTGCCCATGGAACCATAGAGCGAGTCGAAGTAAAAGAAGGAATGTTCAACATTTTAGAATGTTTGAAGATCAGATTAAATAAAATACGCTAAAAATTTGTGAAAAATAATGAATGAATTGACTAATAATTTTAATTGTTACCTTCATTAATCTCTTAAGAAAAGAAAATTTTACTTAAAGATTTTAAAATTAAAGAATTGATAAAGGTAACAATTGATAATTGATACAAAAAAAGAACTATAGCACTAGTAAATAAACAAAAACTAAACAACAACAAACTCAAAACAAAAACTAAAGAACGGTTCGAATATGTAAATGAATAAAATGTGAATTTTTTCTCTCATTTTATACTGCACCCGAGCAAAGTACTTTGATGGTAAATAAATTGCAAAACAATCATACTGGAATTTACTGGAAAAAATACATAATGCATAAAGACAAAATGTAAACAAGGAGAAAAATTGACAAATTGTCAACAAGGATATAATTGTTTACATGTTAGTATTTACTAGAATTTACTGGAAAAAAATTGATTGTAACAATTAAAGCGGGATTAACCCAGTATATCGAAACCCTATATCTCAACATTCATTCATACCAGGGATGTTGACTTAAAAAATATATTCAATTCCCGATTTCAGTAAGTAGGGATTAGTGTTCGGCACGGTACGGTATACCGCGGTATTTTTCCCGGTATACCGCGGTATTTTTTTCCGGTATACCGATACCGTACCGGTCAAATTTTGAAAAAAACGGTATTTTTCGGTATCGGTATTTTTTCGGTATACCGATACCGATACCGTACCGGTCCTCGAAAAAATACCGCGGTATTTTCCGGTATTTCGGTATTTGTGAAATTCTCAAAATTTTCGCCTGCGGCGCTGAAAAAGGAAGAAATCTGTCGTCTGGTCTTCCAAAATTCTCAAAATTTTCGCCTGCGACGCTGAAAAAGGATATATAGGGACATTCTATTAGAGGGGGTATTGTATTTTTAAATTATCCTTCTGGGGCATTCTATTAAAGGAGGATATTCTAATGGTGGGGGCATAGTAATTTCCAATCGTCCTACAGGGGACATACTATTAAAGCAGGGTATTCTAATGGGAGGGGCATTGTATTTTTCAATTAGCTAAATGTCGAGCAATTGTTGGACATTTTGCTGATTAAAACCTTGCCTATGATCGATTAGAAGAAGCTCAAGTCCTTGAGATTGTTAAGATTTATTGTTAAAATTTTAAAAATAAAATTTAAAAAATTTTATAAAATTTTTTAAAAAATACCGAATACCGGCCGGTATACCGAAAATGTTGAGACGGTATTTTCCGGTATCGGTATTTTTCCGGTATACCGATACCGATACCGTACCGGTCAATTTTTGTAAAAAACGGTATTTTTCGGTATCGGTATTTTTTCGGTATACCGATACCGAATACCGGAAAAGGTCATTTGCCGAACACTAGTAGGGATCCCGCCCAAAAAAACATGCAGGATTGTTTCCGGTGGAGTTACTGACACAAATTACGCACGCATGAGGGAGTGAAACTCTGATTGGAGAATGACCCTGAGGTGTATATGCCAACGATCCTGCCGTCTCGATCCCTGAAGGGAATTTTTTTAGGGTCGGGATCCCGATTTCCCGAAATCGGGAATTTTGGTTTTTTGTCTGCAGGATCCCTGGTATGATATAGATAGCTTGAAGCAAAAGTCAAAACAAAAAGTGTATACCTCGACTAAATAATTTTTGGCGGGAATCTTGGGCGTTTAATAAAATGTATGAGAAAATTGTTCGGGAATGGATTTGGGGTCTTTAAAAAAGTGGCAGCTTTTACATCCTCAATTTTAATTGTGGAGGCGTTATTAATAGCTAATAAAGAGTTGAATGGATTTTCTGGAATCGACAAAACAGCTGAGAGATTGAGTAATTGGTGGGAATATATTGAGTGGCTTATTTAAAAGAAATTTGTGTTGTTTGTCAATACACAAAAAACATGTAAATGATTAACCAACAAACAAAATATATTGGACATTTTTTGAGTATTATATTCTTTTTCTTTTTTTGTTTTTTCTTTTTTTTTAAAATTCACTTAATATTTTTATTATTCAAAAATTTAATTTTACTTTATTTCACCTTTACATAATTACTCTAAAATAATTTTTGAACCAAACATACCCAATTAATTTTTATTTTTTTTTCAATTTTTTCTTTTAATTTGTAAATATTTTTGGAGAACTACATAAAAAATCTAAAAAAATTTGTTTGTTTGTTTGTTTTCCGGCAATGAGTCTGCGCTACTAGTATGTTATTTTTAAGTGTTTATTTCTAAGTGAAGATAAAAGGCTAACTATACTTAAATATATATTTATTCTTCTCTTTTCTTCGTTAGTCAATTAAAGATTTTTTAAATATATTTTTAAAATTTTTGATTACTCCATATTTTACAATATTTTTAAATTTAATGATTTAATTACATATATTATAATAATTATTACATATATTATTTTCTTACATTATTAACTTATCGGCCATCAAAAGCCGAGAGAACTCGAAAAATGTAGAAAGTCTATTTTGATAGGTTAAATAGCCAATCACTTTTTAAGAACAATTACAAGTAGAACTAAAATAATTAAGCAATACAAACTTAATGCAAATTTACTACTTTAACAGAATTTATTAACCACATTCTTAATTAATTATTTTAAAGTCTCCCTCTTTAGTAGAGTTTTGAAATATATTTTTTCAAATTTTTTATCTTTTTTTGTAGAAAAGTGGGAAAATATTTATTTTTATTTTGTATGGTTTCGGCTGCAGTTATAGCTCGAGCATTTGTAGCAAATCAACAAGAAGCCTCTAGACGGGCAGCTTTAGCAGTAGAGGCAGAAGAAAATAAAATAAGTAATGGGGGCGGCATTACATTGATTGATCATTTGAGGTGTGAAAAAAAAGTTTTTTTTGTTTCTTTTTTCTGTTTGTAATAAAATCTGGGGAAAACATACAAAAGAAAAAGAAAAGTTTATTTTTTAAAGTTAACACCTTCACTTTCTTTTTTTTTCAAATAAAAAAAAAGTTGAAATAAATGACACAAATAAGGTGATTTTATTTAAATTAAAGTAGGATTATGATTACCTACTATATTTTATTTTTGTAAATAAACTTTTCTTAAATAAAAATTAAACCAAAATTAACTTTATCCCCAAGTCATGTTAAGTTTTTTCTCCTTTATCAGAATATACATATAAGTAGAGATCGGAATTTTTCATCGGTACCGTATTCCGTACCGTATTTTTTTTAAAATTTTTCCGTACCGTACTACCGATACGGAATACCGATAAATACCGAAAAATACGGCCGTAGTACGGTACGGTCCGATCTCTACATATACATAAGAAAGAATACATACCGTATTTACTCGATTAATTCCCCAGATGAATTATTTTTTCAACCCATCCATGGCATGGGGAATTAATAGAGGGTGGGGAATTATTCGAGTTTTGAAATTTGAACGTGTACTAGGGTATTCAAGGGTGGGGAATTATTTTTTCAACTCATCCCCGTCATGGGGAATTAATAAGGGGTGGGGAATTATTTGAGGGTGGGGAATTAATCGAGTAAATACGGTATTTAATTATTAGAAAGTCGTATAATAAAAAATCTGACTTTTACGAATAAAGGGCTCAGACTAATAGTAGTTAGATCCTGATGGAAAGAGTACCTAAACAATAACTGGAGGAGTACAAAACGAGTTCCCAATAATTAAAAGCCAAGTTAAGAAAGAAGAAAATAGGAGGACGAGGAAGATTAATTGGTTAAGGAGAAGTTGTGTTTAAACTTTTAAGCAAAAAAGTCACATTAAAACCGTTAAAATTTTTAATTTATTTATAGAGTTGCGGCACGTGCAAGCGCAGCGGGATCAACAAGAAGAGAAACAATTAGACGTACCCAAAGTATGAAAAGTACACCAAAAGTAAGGGAAAATTTTTTAAATATTTCCTTGTATGCTTTAATTTACTATTTCCAGTCACCAACAGAAATGGATGTGGGAATAACAAGAACTACAAGTTCATCAACAGAACGGAACCCAAAGGTACAAAAATTATTTATTTGAAAGATTACTTTTAAATAAAAGCTTCTGGCTCTGATGATTGCTAATATTTTCTCTTACTATATAATAATTAAATAAAAGAAATCATTTTTATTTTTAAAAGAAAAAAAAGAAAAAGAAAAAAGGATTTCTCGAATTTGGCCCTTTACGTTTTATTTCTTCGCCAAAAGATGAAGGTAAACGTTTAAGACCAACATCCCTTCAAAGACAAGATACTATTGGAATACAAAAGCCCGGACTTAGAGCTATGCTTTATGGATTGACTTTAAAAATGGAAAAAGAAGAAAAATTACAAAAGAAATTGACAAGAAAAAGAGAAGGTAATTTATAGTAATAATTGTTTGGGGGGAGTAACAAAGGAAATAAGGGAGGAGGAAGGGGGATTTTATTTAGTATTTTTCCAAAATAATAGAACTCTAAATTTTTTTATTAATTTCAAGAAATTATTAATTTTTAAACAATTCTCACCAAAATGACCGAAAATATTTTTAAATTAAAAAATTAGTTTTTTTGGTTACTCTTTTTTTCAAAAATATACTATTTAGAGAAATAAAGGAAAATAGAGGAAGATTAAACATGTCAAATTTTTTAGAATTATTTGAAAAAGAGAGGATTTATGATGAGTTAATGGGTTTAGAATAATAAATATATTTTTTTTAATTTAAATATTTTCTTTGGAAATTTATTTTATATTTATATTTAGGTATTTATTAGGCAATATTTTATAATTAAATATAAATTTTAAATTATTTTTTAAAAATTATTTTTAAATTTCCAATTATTTATTTTAGTATTTTTAAATATTTTTTTTTGACTTATTTTGACAATGTCGCCTTCTTTAGAAAAAATATTCTTTTTTTTATTTTTGATGACGCAATTCTTTTGAAAAAACAAAAGAATTAACTAAATTTATTTAAATATTATTTTTAAAAATATTTTTTAAAAGTTTATATTTTTATATAATTAATTAATAATTTAATCAGAAATTTTAATTTTATTTTAAATAAAGTAAGGAGATTCTTTTTCTAAAAATAACCTAATTTATTTAAATTTTAATTTATTTTTCATTTATTTTAACCAAATAAAAACTAATAAATCTTTTTTATTACCAAAAAATATATGTATATTTACTAGGTTTATTTTTTAAATTTAATATATTATTTGTCTTCACTATTTTATGTAAAAAGAGCTTTCTCATTTTTGGTTTAAATTTAGCCTTTTTTTTGGGGGAATCCAATAAATTTTTTTGGATTTATATGTTTAATCTTTAATAAGTTTTATTATTGACTAATAAATTCTTCCTAAATATATGTAGATAAACTTTGATAATAAGAAATATATTTAGTGAGAAATATTACAAAGTTGTTATTAAATTAATAAAATATAATAGAAAAAGATAATGATCCGAGAAGATTATCGTCTCTTGCCGAGAACACTACTTCCCTCCATTAAAACATGATAATTATTCATATAAACTAACAGAACTTTTCTTAATGGACTAAAATAGATTGGGGATATGTAGATGGGATAAAGTAAAGATATTTTTTATGATAACTCTTTTTCAGTTAAAAATTTATTTAAAAAATATTATTTTCTTCTTCTTTTTGTTCTCACTCATTCAAGCAAAAATTATTTTTAAAAAAACCTGCCAGCCACTTTGGATGTTTTTGAGGATTCATCCATTTATTAGGCAAAAGGATAAATGGCTTTTTTCTTTGTTTCTTCTTTTTTACTTGGCCACATGCCCACAAAATGAAATTGGCGTGTAACAGCCACAAAAACATCAAAAACCTTTTCAATCACTTTTAAAGCACAGATTTGTGGAAAAGAAATAAAAATATGTATTGAATGGCTTTAAATGTCAGTTGGCCATTATTTTGTTATTTTTTTTTCTTTGAGAGATCTCTCAATCGATTTAGACGAGACTCATTGTTTTTGACGGGAAAAATCAAAACTTTTAAATAAAAATATTTTTATATATTTTAATAAAAGGAGAATATATTTACTAATCTCTCTCTATTATTTAATGGAATAATATTTAGTAATTTTTAAATTCAACTCTAAAAACAAAGAAGAGTCTTTCTTTTGTATTATCTTTCTTCCATTCCTCATTTTCTTCTAAATTAATGGATCATAAAAGACATCATAAACACTATCAAGAAGAATTTATTTCATCAAAAGAACAAACACCAACAAAAACTTCAAATCAACAAAAATATAAAAATGTTAGTAGAAATACTTTAAGAAAAGTTCCAGACAGACCATCACCTCCTCCTCCAAATAATAATTCTCAAATTATACCTCCATTATATGTTGGACACAGACCTTCACCACCTCTAGAGGCAACAACTTCAGATAATAAAACATCCCAAACAAGGACAACTTCGAATGTTGGGGCTACGGTTGCTGCATTAGCTGCTGTTTTAGCAACTGCCCCAACAGCCGCTGCTCGTCCAAATTCTTCAAGAAAGGAAGGTGGCGGATTACTTTCTGTTCCAAATCATCGACAAAATTCTCGAAATAATTCTTCTGATGGAAATAATCTTTTATTATCAAGATCTGCTCCAATGCTTGCAGCACAGAATTCAACAGCTTCAACAAGTTATCTTCGTCCATTTGGTAATCAATCATCTGCAGCAGTTTCTTTTCATTCCTCCCCCATTTCCCCAAGTTCTTCAACTAACGTTGTTGGAAATGATTTCTCTTCTTATTCTACTAAAACACCCCTATCCTCTCAACCTCAAGGTGCAAATGTTGTACCCTTCTCTTCCTCTTCAACATCCCTTCGTCGTTCAATTCGCAATGAATTTGATGCGTTTAAAAGAAGAAGTATATCGGAATTATCTTTAGTTTTGGAAGTATTAAAAACAGCTACTAATAGAACAAAATATGGAGGGATGCCTGACGATGACATTAAAAGAGATTGTTGGGGAAGGGGAACAACAACTGATGATGAATATTATCAAATAAATCATGGAGGAGGAAACAGGCATTTTATGCACACAGTCGGACCTGTAGAATCTTCTTCTGGAAGCATTTCTGCAGTTAATAGCTTAAGGAGAAGCGGTTTTGTACCTCCACATCATCATTCTACGGGAAATTTAGCGACACCGTTTAGTAGGAAAAGTCAACGAAGAATGGCACTAAGACGAAAAATTCAATGGGAAAGACTTTCTCCTGCAGCGATTCAAAGACAAATTGTTCAAGGTAAAAAATTTTTTAAAATATTTTTAGTCAATATAAATATTGTGGGTTAGGTATATTATTTCTATGGATTTTAATCGGCATATCTTAATCTGGTTATTCTTATATCTTAAACGGGTTCTTTTATTCTGAAGACTGCACTATTAGACTGAATTTTAATTTATAGAAGATAGCCTAGCTAATTTATAATTTTAAGTGAATATATACCTCCATACATATTTTTTGGAAAATTAATAAAATTGGGATATGGGGAATAAAAATATTAGGTAAATTATTTCCCTTTCTTTTTAAAAACAAAACTAGAAATTCAATTCTTGAGTACAACTGAAATAAAATAATATAAAATTGAAGGGTTAAAACAAAAAAAATAGGTCGCCAATTTGAATTGCCTAATTGAAATTTAAAACCAAAAAAATACTTTTATTTGAATTAAATCCTCTAAATATACTTTTTCTTTTATTTTTTAAAATTTATTTCACATCTCACTCTTCTCTCCTTCCTAAAAATAATGCACCTTTTTGTGCCCAAAATTCACATAAAGTTTGAAACAAGAGAACAACTCTCCCTTCTTTTATCGCGCGGCATAAAATACGATTGAAATTCTTTTATTTTTCCCCCTAACCCTTTTTTCCTCTTTTCCTTACAATTTTTATTTTTATCCTCAAAGACCGTTATTTTAAAAAAAAGTTTTTTTATTTGTTCTTCATTCACGCCTTTTCTTCTCTACAAAAATATGTTAACAACAACAAATATTCCTTCAAATAATTTTCAAAACCATTTAACAAACCCCAAACATTCTTCTAACATTCCTGATCGCCCTTCTTCTTCTTTCAATTTTTCTTCTTCATCTTCTTCATCTTCTATTAATTCTTTATCTTCATCAAAACGAAAAAAGCAAAATGGTGTTTGGTGGGGAATTTTGGAAGAAAAAGAAGAAGAAAATAAATTTAATTATTTTGATTCTCGTTCATCATTATTATTAAATAAAAATAACAGATATTTAAATCATCGTTCTTCTTCTCTAATTCTTCATAGAAATGGAACTTTTCGACAAAAAGGACCGGCGCAAAAAATTATATCTGTTGAAAGACCACCAATTTATTATTATTTATTTAAAAGAAATTATATTAATTTACGCGCACATAAAAGTGAGAAAAGAAAAAATAAATGTTCTATAGTCCAACAACGATTGTACAGTGAGACCTTTGTAGTTGGAATAATTAAGTTCTCTCAGAGTTTAAAGCCTAAATGTTTCTATTTGTGCTCGTAGCGCCCAGAGGGCCCAATCTGAATTTCAGTTTTTATGGGTCAGAGTATATCCTTCGGGATTTCTAAGTTCGTTATTGTTCAGTTAAAAAGTCAGTATCATAAAATAAACTAAAAAAATCATCCTGATTCTTTAGCCGTCAAACACAGTTAAAAACAAATTTCTTTCACGGATAATTTTTAGGTTAGGGCGAACTCTGCCTCTAAATCGAAAAGAGTTTGTTGTAAATCGTACAATTGCTGTAAATTATAAAATTAAAATGGGGATTATTATTTAGTATTTTAAAAACAGATACCTATTTAATAATTATTTTTATTACTTCCAAATTTTGATAACCAATTTTGTTTTATTTAAAATAATTTTTAATCTTTTAATTATCTCTTCTATTGTTTTTATTTTAAACGTTTCAGATGTGTCTTACAAATATTAAAAAAATTTAATATTTTTATGAGAGAATGAAAAATAAAATATTGCCTAATAAATATTAATTAATTTTTATAAAATTAATTAATTAAATTATCTCACTAAAATTTTTCAGTTCAAGAAGAGAAAGCAATGCTGCAAGCACCTACTGCCCCTATTTCTGCTGCTAAATTTGTTGCATATGTACAGGAAAGACGCAAAAAGAGGATATTGTTTAAAGGGGAATTTCTAATGATTCAACGTTCAGTAGACCCTCAAAGGTTGACAACTGAAGTTGGAATTCGGATGGGGGAAAAAGTAAAATTAACTATATTAATATTATTTTATTCCACATTAAGGTTGTCGGTTTCACCAGATTCTTCGGTTAACTGAAACTGAACCATAAAACCGAACCAAAAATCTTCGGTTTTTCGGTTCGGTTCGGTTAACCGAAACTGACAACCCTTTCCCATATTTTGAATGAAAAAGTGTTTGGGGGATAAATTCAACATTTTCTATAGTAGCTCCTGATTTTCGTTTCCTTTTTTAACAAAATTTATTTATTTAAAATTAAAATTTTTAGAATCAATATCCAGATACGTTGCCTTACGGTAATTAAAATATTTTATTTAAAACTTTTAATTATTTTTAGATCAAAATCGAGTAATTCTCGAACACAGGCCAGGCGTAGAAGATTCTCATTATATTAATGCTTCTTATGTTAATGTAAATATTTTTATGAATTAATTTGTGTGTGTAACCTCCCTCCTAAACCCAATCCCCCTCCCCTCCAAATTAAAAATTAGTTAATTAACACATTAATTTAATTAAAATTTCTTTTTCATTAAAAAGAGTTGGCTTCGAGAACGTGCCTATGTTGTAACGCAATCTGTTAGAAACAAACAAGCCAGTAATGAATTTTGGCGGTGTGTTTGGGAAATTGGTGCAAATGTTAGCTAAATAATAACAATTATTTTCTAAAAATTATTTTTCTAAAGACAATAGTTATGCTCACAAAAATTTTTGATTTTATGCGCGTTGTTTGCCTTCAATATTGGCCTCAAACACAATTCCAATTTGGAGAAATTCATGTAGAGACTTTGGATACACGAACATATGCTCATTTTGTATGTACATTTTTTGGAATTGAGGGGAGTATGAGAGAGAGAGGGAGGGAGATTATTTTAACATTTTATTAAAGAATACCGTTTTAAACCTAAAATAAGCGATATACGGGGCATTTCACTTCTTTTATGAACACAAATGTGTGTTGTCCATCTTCTGTTCATTTAATCTAAATTTTTAGGTAATTCGAACATTTCGACTTCGCAAAACAGGCGGTGTTGGAGATTTAACAACAACTTCAACAGATGGAAAAGGTGAAACACTAAGGAATATTAATGACAATTCTGAAGAAAGAATTGTTAAACATTTTCACTTTACAGAGTGGGAATTGGTAATTAATATTTTAAAAAATATTTTTAAAAGAAAAATTAATTTTTAGAATTCATTTCCATATATTTCTGCTTTTGTTGAAGTTCGTCGACGAGTAAGACAATGGATGGAAAGGAGCCCAGTTGATTCCCCAATTGTTGTACATTGCAGGTAAAATTTTAAACAACTTTGAGAGAGGGAGAGAGAGATATTCTCATAATTCAAAATATTTTATTTTAACTTTTAAACAATTCAAAATCAACATTCATTTTAAATTTTAATTATTTATCATTTCTTCAATTAAATTATTACAATTTCTACTAATATTTTCTTCTTCATTTTGTATATCCCTTCTTCTTTTAATTATATTTCCACAAATTAATTTACTACAAGTTTTAGGCCATTTTTGCCAATTTAAAATTTTTTCTTTTCCAAATATTTCTTTTAACCAATTAAATACCTTTTTAAATATTTATTTTTAATTAATTAATTTAAAAAATACCTGTAATTGAGAATATTTAATTAAATATTTAATTGCTCCTTCTTTACATTTAGGCTCTTTATTCAAAACTTTTTGGGCACAATTTAAGTCACACAACTTTAAATTTAATTTTTATTTAAAACAAAAATTCCCCTTTTATTCCCCCTCATCCGTTAAATATTTGAAGATTTTGTTTAATTAAAAATTCCTATATTTTTATATTTAAACTTGCCAATGTTTTGCAACGTTGTCCCATTCCGTTAAATGTTAATTTTAATTCTGTATATGGCCCACAACGTAATGAGCCACAATTTCTTTTTAAATTTAAAGAAGAATTAGAATAACAATTTAAATGTGAAATTAACTTAAAAAAATATTTAATTTATTTATTTAAAAAATTTTTTTGCCTCTTCTTTTCTTTTTTGACAAACAAAATCACGCATATTAAATTGAACTTGAAAACCGCACCGAAAAGAAAAAATTTATTTATTTTTAAATTTAAATTAATCTACCCAATTAAACAATTATCATGTTCTAAATCTAAATTACAAAATAATTGTAAATCTAATTTGTCAATAACTGAAGGTACTCCAACACTTCCAAATGATGAATGGGACTTGAAAAGAGAGAGAGAATTTTTATATATTTTTTATTTATTTCGAGCAACCGCTTATTCTTTTAGATCTCCATTTTTAGATCCAGATCCACTAACCCTAATCCTCAAAATTAAAATGAATCGGCCAGTAACAAGTCTGCTGGTTTACAAATATATTCTAAGGTCACTAACACAAATAATTTAGTTTGGATCTGGACTGGATCCGACATTTTTCAATTCCGACCTCTAATAAATAAATAAATATACCTTAATCATATCTAACCCCATTCTTAACTGTTCATTACATTTTTGATGGCAATTTTCTTCTTCATCTATTTTTCTTTCATTTTCTAAATTCCCTTCTAAAAAATTATTTTTTAAATTAAAAATAATTTTTCCGAAAATTTTTTTACTTAAATTATTTAATAATTCAAATTGTTTTTCTAATCGTAATAAATCAAATGCAATTCTTTCTCTTTTTATTCTTTTAGATATTAAATTGGTTGTAGTAATTGTTGGGTTTGGAAGTGAGAATAATAAAATGAAAATTAGTAAAATATTTTTGGGAATAAAAAGAGGAAACATTTTTTGGAAAGTAAAAATAGGGGAAAAGTTTAAAATTAAATAAATATAAAATAAAAAGAAAATTGGGCTGAAAAATATAATATTTGTTTTTTTTTGTTTTAAGAATCGAGGACGTTAATTAAATGAGAGGAACGGGGACAAAAAATAAAAAAATAATTTTGTAGACAAACCCAATAATTTTATTTATTTTTATTTTTTATTTGTTTCTTCTTTTTTCTTTTTTGCTTTTTAATCGGTAAAATAATCAACAACAACAATAATTATATAAAAAGTGGAACCAGACGAACAGCTAAATTATTTGTTAGTTGTTGGCCTTTGTAAAAATCGACAAAATATTTTTATAAAAAAAATAAAATTCAAAATTATCTGAAAATCACCGTATAGGCTCTATTAATCACCCTCTCTCAAATAATTTATTGCCCCCTCTAACGAAAGGTTGAAACTTACCCAATGTAAATATTAGTTAAGTGGTCTTCGTTTCTCTCTAAAAACAATTCCTTCTGAATCTCTTGATTTAGATTTTAATTATTTATTTTAAAAAATAAATTTTAAATTTATTTTTTAGTAATGGTGGTGGGCGTTCTGGTGCTTTTTTAGCTGTTGATGCTAATTTAGAGCTTTTACAAAGGACTGGACAATTAGATGTTTTTGAATATGCTAGGACATTAATTAATTCTCGACAAAATTTAATTGTTTGAAAAATATTAATTAATTTAAAATTTAAATATCTTTTTAAGTCCTCAGTAGAGCAATACACATTTATTTATGATGGTTGGGTTTTAAAATATTTTGAAAATTTTAATTTAATTTTAGTTCTTTGTGAGGCTGTTTTATGCAATTTACAGCCTATGGCAATGCATCAATTAAAAGTTAATAAAAAATACAGAAATAATTTATTTATTTTTGTTAATTAGCGAGAACTAAAAAATATTTATTTAAAAATATCTTCAAAAAATTTACTTTTTTAATTTAAATGATAGAAAGAGTTTTTCAAACAATTTTCATTAAAAGGATCGTAGTACAATGTACAAAGCAAGAAAAAATAGAGAATTAATGGAATTACAAGACAGTCACGAAAATAAACTTTTAACAATGTTAACAGCTCCGCTAAGGATTGGGGATTGTGCTGGTGGACATAGACTAGAAAATAGAGGGAAAAACAGGGATGTTATGGTTGTAAGTTACAGATTTTTTTATTTAAATTCTCTTTTAAGAATTTAAAATTATTTTTAAAAAAGGTACCTCCAGACCATGCCCGTCCATATTTACAAACTTTGCATGGAGAAAGCAAAGATTATACGTAAATTCTAAATTTTAAATTTAAAATAAAATAATTTATTTATGTAGATATATAAATGCTGTTGAGGTTGATGGTTTTACACGTAAAGCTGAGGTAGTAGATAAATAAATTTAGAGATAAGAAATTAAAAAGAAATTTTCAATAATTTATTTTTTAAATAAATTATTGAAAATTTAATTTTAAAAAATTAATTAATTAACTATTTCTAAATAAATTTGTATATTTTTTTCTAATTTTGTTTTAAAAATATATTTAAAATTTAAAAAGTTTATTGTTACTGAATGGCCAAAGCAACAAACATTAGACTCTTTTTGGACGCTTGTTTTTGATCACAATGTCCACACAGTTATTTGTTTAACTAATCAACCAACTGATACGAAGGCAAAGAAAGAGAGAATTTAATTAATAAATAATTTAATTTAGACATATCCCCCATTTGTGCACAATAAAGGGAAAAGAAATTATGGCCCTTTTACAATTGAAGTAATTATATATTTAATTAAATAAATATTTATTTATTTAAAGATTGTAAATTTCCAACAATATCCGGGCCTTTGTTCTTATATGGTTAAACTTTCTAAACGGGTCAGTTGTTTTTTGAAAAATATTTGTTTAAATTAATTTAATATAATTATTTTACTCTTTTCTTTATTCAATACAAGCTTTATTAAATATATAATTTACCTAGTTATCTTTCATTATCTGAAGACTATTTTTAGTTAATTATTTTATGGAATTCAAACTGTAGTTAAAAAATCTTAAAAATTCTCCCAAAATTAAATAAAACAAGTTTTGAGATATTTAATTATGTAATTAGTTCCAGAAATTAATTATTCAATAATTGTCTCTTTATTTTTTTGTTTTGTAATAATTTTTAAGCCAATGGAAGAAGTTGTTGAACGACGTAAATGGTTATTTACTAGACGTAAAAGTAGTAAAGGGGGAAGTGCCGGAGTTCGTTTAAGACGACGGCCAACACTTTCACATTTTTTGGCAGAATGTGAAAAACAACGTAGAAGAGATAGCGGGCCTCCAATTAGTGGATTTAGTAGTCATTTTACTCAAAATGTTCCAGATAAAGAGGATTTAATGTCAACTTCTTTGAATGACCCAAATTTTCGATTACAGCAAAAATACTGGGGGAAAATACATAGAAAAACTCCAACACGCACACCAAGTCCAGATTTTGGTAATAGTGATGAAGATAATACAAGTAGTAGAAGCGAGGAGGAAGAAGAAGAAGAATTGAATTCTATAGATGATAATGAATCAGAAAATGGACGTGAAAATATTGGAAAGGAAGAGGAGGTGGAAGAAGAAGAAGAATTAAATAAAAATAATAAATCTGATAAAATAAATGAAAATATTGTTAGGCATAGACGAGGAATATATTTAAGACAAAGGGAGAGAGAACGGCCTCTTTCTGATGGAGCTTTATTGCCTGAACAGGTGTTTATTTGTTTTTAGTTGAGGGGTTGAAGTAGAAATTTTATTAGAGAATATCAATCCCACTGTTGATCTGATAACAAACTTTTTCTCGGGAAGATCTCAGGGTCAATCTCCTACCCAAGCATTGCTTTGATAATTTTACTCACTTGTATATTGATAATATTTTTTTATTTTCAGGAGATTCTAATGAAGATAAGTGTCTCAGATGCTCATCGTCCTAAACGTGATGAAAGAGGTCGTCGATTGGGTGGAGAGTGGGATAAAAGGTTTGAACGTTTGGGTAAGCAATTAGTTGCTAAATTAAATGAAAGAGGAGAAAATATTCATGATAAAAATGAAGAAAAAGAAGAAGGAAAAGGAGGTGGTGGGAATGGAAGATATCCAAGTTTACCTTCATGTTCATCTAATACACCGACAACTAAAAAAACTTTTAGTCAAAGTACTAGAAGTAGACAAAGCAGTAAAAGTAGAAAAAGCCATAAATATCGAGGAAGTAATAGAGGAAGTAGTAAACGAAGAAGAAAAAGAAGGGAAAGACGTTTTTCTGAACCAAATCTTGGAACGTTGGAACGCTTCGAGAAAGTGAGGAAAAAATGGGGGTTATTAATTCTGAAAGTGTGCACGCGTTTTTGAGAATTCTAATAAATTATTTTTTAAGTATATCTCCTTTCTGACCCAATTAGTAATTATTTTGTTGTTCTTGTTTGGCCCATTCCCACCCGGCCACATTTTTTGCCTCTCCTATTTCTAAGTTTTTTTAGTTTCTATTTAATTATTTGTTAAAATAGTTTGTATTTGCTGATTGGGGGATATGTGGGGGGATATTTGGCTACTCTTTAGTTTTTGCTATTTTTAATACCAAAAATTTTTAAATTCTTATCTAATTAGAATTTTATTTTTTAATTTAAATTTTTAAAAAAATTATTTTTGCATTTGCAATAAAATATATGTGGCTGGGAGGGGAAAGGGTATACGCGCCGTTATATTTTTTTATTTTAATTGTTCTCGTACTCTCTTCTCTCTATTAATCTTTATTTTCAAAATTTTTAAAAATTAATTTTTAAACTTTCCCGATAAATTGTTTACAGCCCACAAATGCACCAATGCCCCTTTTAATGCCTGTGGAAAAGCCAGTTGGCAATAAAAAACTTGTAAGTAAAGAAGCACAAATTAATTAAAAATAATCGTGAGCGTGCGCAAACTTTCCCTTTCCCTACCAGCCACTTTATTTTTAAATGTTTCTTTTTTTGTTTGTTTGTTGTTTTTGTGTTTATTTTTGTTTATTTTATTTAATTATAAAGGTGAGACAATTGCACAAATAATTTAAGAAAAAGCAATCCACTTTTTAAATTTAGTCAACAATTGTCAAATTATCCCTCCAAATACTCACTAAAAATACTAATAGAATTTTTAAACTTTTTGTTTTTTCTTTATTTTTCTAAGTTTTTAAGTTTTTTTGCTTTTAAAGTGTGGAACAGAAGAAATAAAACAATTATTAAATGTAAAACGTGCAATACCTACAAGGAGAGATTTGGCTGAACAAATGGAAAAATTAGTTTGTTTTTGAAAGCTTTTCTCTTTTAAGTTTAGATTTTGTTGCTTTTTTAAGTTATTTTAATTTTTGGTTTATTCAACGAGAAACGATTTGCTCGTAAATGCTGAAATAATTATCCGGGGTAATTATTGTTTCGTTCTCTCGTTGGAAGGGGTAATTATTTGAGCACTTACGGTATTTTAATTTTTAAGATATTTTTAATTAATTTTACTTGTCAGTTTAATAAATAAAGAAATATTCTCAAATATTTGCAAATCGTTTCCAAACTTAAAACTTAAATGCTATACACTGCATGGAATTTTTTGTTATCGAGATTCCAAATCGAGATTTGATTTCAAAAATTAAGAGCCTCTCCCTATTTCCTAAAAACGCAATTTTTGAAGGGATCCCTTCCCGCTCCGCACAAAATTGTTTATTTTTAGAAATTCTTAAAAAATATTTTTCTAGACATTTATGATAAGTGAAATAATGGCCACAGGCGCCAGCCAACAGCAATTGGAGGCAGAAGTGCGTCTTTGTTGTATTATTCAAGTAAAAATGTGGCCAATTGAAAATAAAGTAAGAAAAAAATAATTTAAAAATATGTTTCTATTTCCGTCTTAACTCGATTAAAAAATATATTTGTGTTGTATTTATCAATAAGGAAAGGGGGAATTTACAAATATTTTAGTTTAATTAATTAATAATTCATTTCAAAAGGTACCTCTTTCAACTACAGCTTTAATTGAAGTTTTGAAAATGACACGATCATGGCGGAAAAGGGCGCCAGATAGACCAGGTAATGAAGTTATTTATTTTTAAAAAATATTTGGAAAGTAAATTATTGAAAAAATAAATAGTTAAAGGATTATTAAATTTATAAAAAAATTATTAAAATTTAGATTATAGAGGAGAAAGTTGAAATGTCTCATTTATACATACTGGGGTTACTCTATTTGTGACAGTTTTTGCCCCATTCCTTTACCATACTTTTTAGGAAAATATCCGGAATAATTATTTTAAATAATTTCTCATTTTTACCTTATTTTCTCACCCCCCCCCCTCCTTCTAGTTGTTTTGTAATCGGCCACCCTGTTATTTATAAATTCAAGAATTCCAAGTTTTATTTAACAGTTAATTTTTTTAGAATCTAGACCAACAATTGTTATGTCACAGTAAGTTTATTTTTATTCAAATTCCAATTCAAAATCTTTTAAAAGTAATGGAGTTTCTCGTTGTGGAATTTTTATTGCTGCGAATGTTTTGGTAAAAGAAAAAAATATTTTTTAAACAAATTTTCTTTAAATTAGATTGATCAAATGGAAATGGATCATGAAGTAGATGTATTTCATGCAGTTAAATTAATTCGTCTTAATCGTCCACAATTAATTGATGGACCTAGAACACGTTTTGTTAGTTTCTTTTTAAATAAAAATAAAATTATTTTTTAATTTTAAAAGACTGGAGATGCAAAGGATGAATATAAATATTTATATGATTTGATAGTAATTTTAAAAAAAATTATTTGTTTTAATTTTTGGGAATTTTAAATTATGTACTAAGTGGAATTCAAAAAAAATATATAATTTTTCTTATCAAACTGGTAGAGATTTTTGAGAATCCTAATTTTCTGACTTATTGTTCTCTATCTAGTGTACTCATTTTCTAAAAACCTTAAAGTCGAGCCCAGACTGACCCTCCCCACCCCCTCCCCCAAACCCAAGACCGAAAACCCTACTAAAGTTAAATCCAAATCTTTTTAAAATTATACATTTAGCTTCATTGGTATATGACAAATCCAGAATTACGTTCATTCGAACCTCCAGAAGCAGATTCACTTGGCTCTGATGACGGATCGAGTGACGAAAGTATTGGAGAATCTCAGTCATTAGGGACAAATAGAAGAAGTATTAGAAGTGGACATACAAGAAGTATACAAAGAAGTAAATCTAGTAGAGCATCTAGAAGAACAATTACAACAGCTAATTCATTGGTACATGGAGGAACAGAAATTGGGGGGACAACAACACAAAGAAATAGCAATGAGACTTCGAATGAACAAAAGAAAAGAATGGAACCGGTGTACTTAAATTAAAGCGGGAAAATTAAAAAGATTTCTTTAATAAATATTTATACATTTACATATCGAAATAAACTCAAGGAAGTTCTGTAATTTAATTTGAATAAATTGTTTTGAAAATATACTTAAACACAGTTGGTAAATCCAAAAATTTAGCTTGTACTGCTACTATCTATACTTCGTGGCGCGACACATGGGGATATGACTTTTGAGGACCAGACACTTGAGGACCGACTTTTGAGGACGCGACCTTTGAGGACGCGACCTTTGAGGATGCGACTTTTGAGGATCAGACATTTGAGGATACTCTAATGTCAAAAAAATAAATAATGTTAATTTTATGTTTAAAAAATTTAAATTTTATAAATTTATGGCTTGCTCGAGGCCTAACTATTAAATAGTAGTGTTTCTCCGGAACCACAAATTTGGCCGGAACGGAACCGGAACAAATTTTGACCGGATCCGGAACCGGATTCATTAAGTCTCGTTCTTTGGTTTATAAACTAGAGGCGTGTGAACCGAAAACTCTTGGATGGATTAAGGAGGATATCATAGGATTTGGGAGGATAACGGAGGATTTAGGAAGGGATTGGATTATCATCAGTTGGATCATCATCATATCCCTCTTATCCTTCCAAAACTTTCTTAATCCTATCTACATCCTTCCAGACATCGAGGTATTCTTCCGATATCCATTCGAATCTGCTGGGATTCTCATTTGGGCGTGATATCGAAAGATCAATTGATTAACCTCCTTTGATAACACTTAAATCCCCTTTGATCGATTCAAACCCCTTCTATCATCCGATATCAAACACCTTATATCCACCAAATTCACTTAAACACCGCCGCTAATCCTTAATAACCCCTTAACCCTCGACAAAATTTTCGGTTCGGTTACTGATATCAGAAAATTTTTGGTTAGGTTCTTTGGTTCGACTATCCGAAGAATTTCTAGAAATCGACAACCCTATTCAACTCATCAAAATTGTCAGCCAATTTCCAAAATTAACTAACTTTGAAAACTGAAATGATTATACACTGGTGGAAAAAAGTATTGATCCCTATGTTTTTTTCTTCTTTCTTCTTTCATTCAAAAAATACGTTCTATATATCAATCGAAAGCTCTATCTGTATCTCAGTTGACATGTTTCTGCATTTTTCGAAATTCTGACATTTTCGAAAAATTTTCGACCGGTCTAACAGGTACTACTTTTTCAACTTTTCGGAGAAATTTTTTTGAGGTCTTTAAAAAATATATGTGATTCTCCTCTAGATTCTACATACAATACAAAAAAATCAACCAAATCGGTCGAGATTCAACCGAGTTATGAATTTTTGAAAATCGAAAAAACACGATTTTTTGACGAAAAATGGCAAAAAATCGTGTTTTTTCGATTTTCAAAAATTCATAACTCGGTTGAATCTCGACCGATATCGAAAGATCAATTTTTTTTTTCGATTGATATATAGAACGTTTTTTGACGAAAAATGGCAAAAAATCGTGTTTTTTCGATTTTCAAAAATTCATAACTCGGTTGAATCTCGACCGATTTGGTTGATTTTTTTGTATTGTATGTAGAATCTAGAGGAGAATCACATATATTTTTTAAAGACCTCAAAAAAATTTCTCCGAAAAGTTGAAAAAGTAGTACCTGTTAGACCGGTCGAAAATTTTTCGAAAATGTCAGAATTTCGAAAAATGCAGAAACATGTCAACTGAGATACAGATAGAGCTTTCGATTGATATATAGAACGTATTTTTTGAATGAAAGAAGAAAGAAGAAAAAAACATAGGGATCAATACTTTTTTCCACCAGTGTATTTAATGATGATCACTATTTGCTCGTTCGTATAAAATTTAAATTTTTTAAACATAAAATTAACATTATTTATTTTTTAATTTTTTTTGACATTAGAGTATCCTCAAATGTCTGATCCTCAAAAGTCGCATCCTCAAAGGCCGCATCCTCAAAAGTCGCGTCCTCAAGAGTCGCATCCTCAAAGGTCGCGTCCTCAAAGGTCGCGTCCTCAAAAGTCGGTCCTCAAGTGTCTGGTCCTCAAAAGTCATATCCTCAAGTGTCGGGTAGCCCTATACTTATAGACAATTTTGTATTCTATGATATCCGCGTCTGATACCGTACTCGATATCTCATATCTGTGGCGAAGTGCCTTCCCGGCAAAATTTTTTGTATATTTCTTTGCATTTAATTGCCCCGAATATCAGAAAGTTTTTAAACCCGAAAGTATAGACCCTACTGATAAAAACAAGGATGTGTTGATTTACAGTACGTTGATCTTTTGGAACGATATCTTCCTACCAGCTGCAATTTTCTCTCCACGATTAGTTTCATTAATTTATTTTTAAGTAAACTACTATGGAAATTTATTTAATATTTGCAACTATTTTTTATTTTATTTTGTTTCTGTTGACTCTTAAGTTTTTGCGTTTGAACGGATTTAATGAATTGAATGAAATTTTTTGGGACATTCGAAATGGGAAATCAATACTTTCTGCTTTATTTCGGGTATTTTTTTGATATTTAAATTTAAAATTAGGGACAGATAATGATGCTAAAACTATCCCAATTTTTAATATTAAATTCAGGTCGACACAACTTCTCCACGACATGGGGGTGAACTAGTTGCTGACGTTCTCAAAGTTTGTTTTTTAGTGTTATGCTTTAAAACCTATTAATTTTTAGGCACATGACGTCAAAGAAATATTTACTTTGTGTGGTGGACATATTTCTCCAATTTTAGTTGCTTGTGAGAATCTTGGAATTAAAGTATGTATTTTTAACAAAAAAAAATATTTTTTTAATTTTAGGTTTATGACACTCGTCACGAAGTAAACGCAGTTTTTGCAGCAGATTGTGTTGCCCGTCTCCGTCAAAATGTTGGTGTGGCTGTAGTTACTGCTGGGCCAGGTTTTAAACATTTTTTATAAAATATTTTTAGCATTTAAAGGAGTTACAAATAGTATTACTGGACTAAAAAATGCACAAATGGCTGAATCTCCTTTGCTTTTAATTGGCGGGGCAGCTCCGACTTTGTTAAGAGGACGTGGAGCGTTACAAGTAAATTTTATTTCAATCATTTTATTAAAAATTTTTTTAATATTTCCTTCCAACAAATTTTATTGCCTTTAATTATGTCAATTTTATTTTTGCATCTCTTTCTATTATTTATATTTTCAGGATATTAACCAGCAAGTTCTTATCAAGCCTTTATGTAAATTCTCTACTCGGGTTCGTGCTGTTTGTGACATTATTCCAACTTTAAGGCAAATTTAAATATTTTATTTTAAAAATTTTCATTTTTAGAAAAGCAATTTCTATAGCAAAATCTGATACTCCCGGCCCAGTATTTGTTGAACTTCCAATTGATGTTCTCTATCCTTATAGTATTGTTGAAAAAGAAATTGGCTTTTCTAAAAATCCTAAAGGATCAAAGGTTTTTATTTTAAATTGAAAATTATTTAAGAAACTCAGTTTCTCTTTATTTTTAGCAAATTTTGGAATTTTTTCTTCGTGCCTATATTTCTTGGGTTTTTGGTGCTGCTTGGAGACCTCAACCAACAACTCCACTTTCTATTAACACTCCAATGTGTAAACAATCACAAATAAATTCTCTAATTAATTTACTTTCTTCCTCTCAAAGACCATTGATTTTATTGGGTTCACAAGCTGTTTGTCCTCCTATAGAGCCAAATATACTTGCAGAAGCTGTTAAAGTATCATTATTTTTGAAATTAAATTAAAAATTATTTTAGAAATTAGGAATACCTGTTTATTTGGGCGGAATGTCGAGAGGTTTATTGGGAGCTAATTCTTCTCTTCAAATGGTCCATAATCGTAAAGAAGCCTTAAAAAATGCTGATTTGATTATATTAGCTGGTTTATTATATTTTATTAAAATATTCTTTTTTTATTTTTTTAGGAGCAGTTTGTGATTTTAGATTAAGTTATGGAAGAATTTTGAATCCAAAAGCTAAAATTGTTGTTATCAATAGGAATCAATCACAAATGTTAAAGGCTAGTTTAAAGAGAATTTAAAAATCTGAAAATGAAAGGAATATTATCTTTATTTTAATTTTAGTTAATTTTATATTTTTTGTAAATTTAAATAATTAAACCAGATAGCAAAAATAATTTTTGACATATTACCTAATTACTTTTTAGAATCATGGACTTTTTTGGCGTTCCACATTAGCTATTCAAGCAGATGTTGCCTCAACAATTGTTCAATTATCTAATCATTTTTCATTCAAAAATGATGATTTAGCTGCTTGGTTTAGTCAATTAAAAGAAAGTGAACGTTTAAAAGAAGAAAGTAATTCTAAAAAAGCTTTGGAAAAATGTAAAGATGGAAAATTAAATCCTTTATTGTTACTACAAGCTTTACAAAATGTGTTAAATGATGATACTATTCTAGTGGCAGATGGAGGTGATTTTGTTGGGAGTGCTGCTTATATGTTACGACCTAGAGGACCTCTACAATGGTTTGATAAATTTAAAAAATCATAACAGCCAACCGGGAAATTGGATTGATGGGAATTTCCTTTTAAAAATATTTTTTAATGGTTTGGCTAGGTTACCCATTTTTGTGTGTCACATATAAATACTATATTCAAAAAATATTTAAATGATTTCTCCATTTGAAGAATATTTTCGAAAATAAATTAACAATTTATTTAAAGGCTCGATCCCGGTGCATTTGGAACTTTAGGAGTTGGGGGTGGTTTTGCTCTTGGTGCTAAAGCTGTGTATCCAGACAAGCCTGTACTTATTTTGTTTGGAGACGGGGCCTGTGGGTTAGTTTATTTTAAAAAGATTTTAATCAAATTCTTTGCCATAAAAATTGCTCGAAGAAGTGATTTACTTTTAAAAATTAAAAATAATTTTTTCTTAAAGATTTTCTTTGATGGAATTTGATACTTTTGTACGTCATCGGCTTCCAATTTCTGCTTTAATTGGTAATGATGCTTGTTGGTCACAAATTGCAAGAGATCAGATTCCATGGTTTAATTCAATTGTAGGATGCGAACTTGCGGTATTTCTTTTCATTTTTTTTCTCCCCGCGTTTTTCTTTCGCTTCCTTTTCCCTAAAAATTAAATTATCGATGGTTAACATGTGCAAGGTTACAAATTGTGTAATACAACAGCATTAAACTCTGAATGATTAAGCCAGGGCATAAATCAACATTTTATTTGAGGGATTGAAACAATTGGCTGGTTCCCCTTATAAATAGTTTTCGGTTTTTAGGAGTCTAAAAATTGGGAAAAAATGTATAAAAGAAAAAGGAATGAGAGAAAAATGCTGACATGAATTAATTACAGAAATTTTTTTAAGTTTACAAGCTATGAAAAAGTTGGTGAAGGACTTGGGGCTAACGGAGCAATTATTGAAGATGGAAATATTAACGAAATTGAACAAAAATTGAGACAATTGTTAAATTTGGGAAATTCAAAGCCAACTATTATAAATGCAATTATTGGAAAGACAAATTTTCGTGAAGGAAGTATTAGTGTTTAATATTATTTTTATAAAAATATTGACTCATTTTAATTATATATAGATACCAGGGATCTAGCCGGCCCGACTTCCAAAAATTGGGAATTACTGACGCTGATTGGGGCTGAAATAACGATTCCTGAAATTTGATTTTATTCTTTTATATCGGTTAGATCCCTGATATGTACCTACACTGCTATGCAGTTGTAGGAATCTAATTTACTTTAGCTTGATAGAATAAAAGTAGCTCTTTTTAATAAATATAATTTTTAATCAACAGTCCTAATGATTCATGGACTTCTACGGTAAAACTCACAAGTAAGTTAAAGTAAGGGATCTACTTTAGGGCATACGTCCCAAAGCATTTATGTGTCCCATCAAAGTATAAGCGTTCTAAAAATAATATAAGCAAATAATTATTTTTTGCAGATAGACAATTTTTTCCACCGACCAAAGCTTTGATTTGACCGATCTCTGGAGATTTTCCCTCATTACAGTTATTTCGCCTTTCGTCATATTTTCGTCTTTTGGTATTTCGAGTCTAGCTTTTTAAAATCTGTTTCGGCACCCCCCCCCCCTCCCCTTTATGTATAAAGGACTCGAATCCATGAGAGCAAATATTTTGTACGACTGGTAGTGTTTCTTTGCGTGTTGTAGCATTTACCCAAATGAGAAGCGACCATTTTTAAATAGATCCGTTGGGTGACGATTGATTGTCAAATCTTGTTCTTATTTTTAAGCATTTACGGTTGATTGATCCGGAACAACTTTGATTTTTCGTTCTCTATAGTTCGACTTATTTTTTACTTCGTTTGATTCTTGTATGATTTAATCTTTATTGTAACTGGCTCTATTATATTTGAATTTATGTAGTCTGTATTATTTGATTGTCCTTTACACTTATTAATTATTGATTTTTTACTTTTATTTTTTACTTATTTTGTTGGATTTGACTTTTCAATTTATTTTTTATTAAAATACTTTTGTTTTTAAGAGCAATATTGTTCAACTCATTAAAAGAGTATAAACTAATTTTAACGCTAATTGTGTAACGACAACGCCAAAAATCTCAACAATGGCTGATTTGTGTGGAACTCCTATGCGTCCTTCGGATAGTTGGTCGTCGACTGAAGTTCGTAGTCTTCAACACTCTCATATGTGTATGGACAGATTTTTTGCTTAAAAATAATTAATTGTGATTTAAGGGACAATTAAGGGATTCAGTCAGTGTGAATGTCGATATTTGGAGACATCTCTACGCATTAAGGATTCTGCGGTATGATTTTTTACTATATTTTGTCTAAAAATTATTCTTTAGAGTTCTACTAATACAAATACGATTGCTATACCTAATGGGTTGACGGCAGACAATGCCAGTTATCTGACTTTCAAAATTCGACTTCATCCTCAAGGGAATAAAGAATCTAATAAGGATTTTTGCTTCTTTCAAGTATTTTTCTTTTTAATTTTAAGCTTCATTCAATATTATTTTTATGTTTTCTCGTGCACTAGCGCCAAGTTCAAGGCTAAATTCTCTGTGTTCAACACAAGGAGTGAGGAAGTGCCTGCAACTGTCTATACGGGAACTCAGCAGGTTAAAATTTCGTCAGTTATCCATCCTTCGGTATGCTTTTGTGAATGATACTCTGATCATTCTATTCTCTGCTAAATCAAATTATTACGGCTACCAAATTACCTATATTAGAATATATATAGATGGCTAATTTTAGTATTACATAAATTTTAAAATTATGGTAATAAACTATTCTAACAAAGGTATATCATGACATTTCCTGCTTCTTATTTGATTTATTATATATCTTTAAATTTAAATATTTGCAGTTGAATGGATATTTTGAATACATTCGTCGTGATGTTTTAATCGGCCATATACAGCCAAGTGATGAGATTCAACTTCTTTTGAACTTGACTATTGTTTCTGATACAATCACTAAGAACAGCCAAAATGTTATCAGTCCTGTGGTTCCTGAGCCTCGCCCTTCTGAGGTTTTCTTTGGATAAATTTATCCTTTATTTTGATATTTTTTAGTTGGCTAAAGATTTGGAACAAATGTTTGGCGATACTAGACATTCGGACTTTACTATTATTTGCGATGGCGATAAAGAACATCGTGAATTGCCTGCTCATAAAGTTGTTTTGGGAGCTCGTTCACCAGTTTTTGCGGCCATGTTCGAACCTCATACAGAAGAGGCTCAAAAATCGGAGGTTCACTATAACGACATAGATTTTGAGGTTTCTTAGATTTTGTTGTATATTTATATTTATCATTAAAGGTCATGCGTGAAATGCTCTTCTATATGTACAGCGGAACTGCACCATCGCTTCAACAGATGGCCTTGGACTTGCTGGCTGTTGCTGATCGCTTTCAGTTGATTGGACTTAAAGAAATGGCAGATCAAGTAGTTTTAATATTTTATCTTTTAAAGTTATTTTCTTTTCAAGGTTCTCCGTAATGGACTTTGTGTTGATAATGTCTGCAGGAATCTTGTATTGGCGGATATGCACAACGCTTTGGAGCTTAAGCAAGATGCTTTGCGTTTTATTGCGCAATATTCTAATGGTGTTATTGTTGTTAGTTTTTTTACTATTTGTCAAAAAAATTTTTCCTTGTCCATTTACTAATTCGAGCTTTTTTGGGAATTTAATCATTTACACATTATTTCCTATAAATTTTTTGACAACTTTAAGGGTGTTTCCAGGAGTACTTTATCCATTGTGGAAAACGCAATAAAATTTTGGAAGGGATGTATGCCTTTCCTCTGGGAATCCTCCCTCTTGATACGTCTTTGACAAACTTTACATTTAATTAATTTTTTTAGACTGATGGTTGGGCTACTATGGTTAAAGAGCATCCTAGACTTGTTACCGAAGTTGTTGCTGCTATGTCACTTGAACAGTCTCGTCTATGTAAATTATTTTAATTTTTATTTAGCACCTAATTAATTGTTCATTAAAGCCAATAATAGTTCTGTATCTATGGGTGGTTCTGTCAATTGTGGTAATGCTAATAATTCTTCAATTCTTGGACCAGAGCCTTTGGCTAAACGTTCTCGATATGATGCATGAGAAGCGGAGAAGAATTAAAGCGCTAATTAAACCCAAAATTTAAATAAAAGAATTTTTTGATTATTTTATAGTTATCCTCCTTATTGACACAAAATCGCGACATATTTTGGGTATCGCAATATTGTTTCTAAAAATATATGTATCCTCTATACCCCAAAAAACTTTCCCCGTTTATTATGATCTACGTCCAATTTATATATATTTTTCTTTTTTTTGTTTGAATAGAAGACCTTAATATTTTGAGAGTTTTGAATAACTCTCCAAAAGCGAATGTGATATATTATAAAATATGTATTTAAAAAAATTTGGGATTTGAAGAAAATAAAAATCATTCGCATTTTATTTTTTTTGTTAAATTAATGTAAATGTGCAGACCTACAAATTTAAATATATTGTTTATTTTTGTGTTTTTTTAATTTTAACTTTATTTTGTTTAATTACAAAATTATGGATTTATTTTAGTTTGTGACCCTGAAAGTTATTTTTCTAAAATTTCAAAGAATAATACTAAAAATTTGAAAGAAAATTTTCTTCTTTGGGTTTCACACTAAAATATGTTTAATTTTTTTTGAAGATTTTAACGGTTTTTTTTCTAAATATTTCTTTTTTATTTTAGATTTTGACGCTAATTGATGTTCTTTACTTATTCTCGCGTTTTAGCTTCAAATCATTTGAGGTATGCTTTTTCCAAATTATTCTTTGATTTAATTTTTATTAAAGGTTGAGTTTAAAATGCGCTAATAGGCGTTTTGCATCGGCTGTTCCCACAGCCGCCGATATACCAATTGAGACGAATCAAGACAATGGAGAAAAGTTATCTATACCTAAAACCAGTGATTCTTTCTGCATGAACTTGTTTTTGGGCAAAGCTGTGTTGGGACAAGTGTTTCCATATCCATTGAATTTGGACGATGAGAGGCGTGAAATGCTTCAAATGGTTTTGGCACCAACTGAAAAATTTCTCGAAGAAGTTAATGACCCTTTTAAGTGAGTTGGATTATTTTTTTGGTTATTTCGATGATTTATTCCATCACAAAAATTAATTTTATTGGGTTGTAAGTTAAATAATTTGCCATTGGAATTCATCAAATAAGGCCATGATTTTTTAGTAGTAGTTTAATATGGAGATTTTTTGTAATTAAAAGGTAAAGATGTAACCAAAACTGAAATTGTTTAATTTTAGTTTATAACTTTTATTGTAATTCAAAGTTTCTCGTTCTCCTATATTTAATAAAATATTAATACTTTCAGGAATGACGAAACTGCATTAATTCCCTCTGAAAAATTAGATCAATTTGCGGAATTGGGAGCTTTTGGAGCTGTAGTTCCTGAAAAATTTGGTGGTGCTGGATTGAACAATACACAAATGGCTAGGTAAAAATAATCTAGTAATTTTTATTTTTTTAAGAATTGCTGAAATTGTTGGTGCAAATGATCTCGGACTTGGTGTTACTATGGGTGCTCATCAAGTAATATAATCATTAAATATTTAATTTTTTGGTTTTAGTCAATTGGCTATAAAGGTATTTTGTTGTATGGCACTCCTGCTCAACAAGAAAAATATTTACCTGATTTGGCAACTGGGAAACGATTTGCTGCTTATTGTCTCACAGAACCTAGTTCTGGTTCTGATGCAAATGTAAAATTTAATTAAAAAATTTCTTGTAGAATTTCCTTTTGAATATTCACAAAAATATAAAGTATCAAAAAAAGTTTTTGTCCAAAAAACTTAAAAATTAATTTTTCATTCAAAAATTATTTTTTTTTGTAATTTTAGTCGATTCAAAGCCGTGCACAAAAGTCAGAATGTGGCAAATTCTATATACTTAATGGCGGAAAGATTTGGATAAGTAATGGTGGAATTGCAGATGTTTTTACTGTATTTGCTCAGGTAGAGGGATATGTATTTTATTAACAATAAGAAAATTAAATTATTAAAAGAAAATTTAAAAATGGTTTTTAAACTTTTGTACCGAAAGCTTAAAAGTGGATTAAATACATATTAGAATTTAATTAACCTAAAATTTATTTTAAATCTTTCGGGTAATCATCACAAATAATTATTGTCATAAAAAGTAAAAATATTTTTTTTTATTTTAATAGACTCCAATATCACAACCTGATGGCTCTACAAAGGATAAAGTTTCTGCTTTTATAGTTGAAAGACAATTTGGAGGGGTAACAAATGGACCTCCAGAGAAGAAAATGGGAATTAAAGGGAGTAATACAACAGAAGTACATTTTGATAATGTAAAGATCCCTGTAGAGAATCTTTTGGGTGTGGAGGGAGAAGGATTTAAAGTAGCAGTGAATATATTGAATAATGGACGGTAAAAGAATTTTTTTTTAAGGCTGGATATTAATGTAAGGAAAATTTATAAAGTTATGAAAAAACAAAATTCTAGACTTTTAGATTTATTATTTGTTTGTTATTTTTTCTTTCATAATGCCAAACCAATCTAACTATATTATTCTTCCTTTTTAATTTTTTAAAAATTTTATTAAAAATATTTTGACCCTTTAGAAATAATAATGTTTAATTTTTTAGCTTCAGTATTCCCGCAGCAACAACTGGCTCAATGAAATATTGTATTCAAAAAACAGTAATTATATTTTTAAAAATATTTTTTAAATTTTTTTGTTTCTTTTTAGATTGAACATGTCAATCAACGTGTGCAGTTTGGAAAGAAGCTTAAGGAATTTGGACGTATTCAGGAAATTTTAACTGATATGGTTATTCGACATTATGTTGCCGAGAGCATTACTTATAGGTTTCTTTTTATTTTTAAATTTTAAAATAATTTATAGTTTGGCTTCCAATATGGATGCTGGTGCTACGGAATATCAATTGGAGGTATGGCTAATCTTTATGCAATATTTATAATTCCTGAAAATTATAAATTGGGTTCTCTTTTTTTAATTTCTAGCTTATTGATGTTAAAACTGGGGGATTAATATTAAACAACTTTTAAAAATTTTACATGCTGATCTAACAGCATGAACAGAATCAAAATTTAACGAGTTATATAATTTTAATTTATAGGCTGCAATAGGTAAAATTGTCAGTTCAGAGAATGCTTGGCAGGTGTGTGATGATGCTATACAATTACATGGTGGAATGGGATTTATGCGTGAATGTGGATTAGAGCGAGTACTTCGCGATTTGTAAATTTTTCTTTAATTATTAGAGTAGAATTAACAATAAGAAATTTGGTTTTAATATTTTTTCTGGAAAAAATATTTAAAATTAGACATTCTAATTTTTAAAATAAATTCCTTCTTTTAGGCGAATATTTCGCATTTTTGAAGGAGCTAATGATATTCTCCGTCTTTTTGTTGCTTTAACAGGAATGCAAATAGCTGGAAAACATTTACAACAAATTGCAAATGATATATTTTCTGGAAATATTTCTGCTCTTGTTGGAGAAGTTAGTAGACGGGTTTTTCGAACAAATGGGTAATTTTTTGATCTCAAAAAAATTTTGTTTTTAATTCTTAAGTTCTGAAAAAATTTCTGATCTTGTACATCCAAGTTTAAAAAATGATGCTTCAACACTTAATTCTTTAATTGTTAAATTTGGCAAAACTGTGGAACAGTTACTCAAAATGCATAGAAAAAATATTATTGGTTTGTAATTATTGGGGGTGGGGACTAAAAAATTTCTATGGTTACCTAATTCTTTTTGAGCTTCATATTCTGTTTTGTTTGATTATAATTTTTAAATAGGCCAATAACCCTCTAATCACGGATACGATTTACTAATTTTCTATCCGTCCGTACGCCCATACTCACATAAACCCAGTCCTAACCCTAATAAGTTTTGAAATTTTAAGTATAAAGTTTTTGCATTTATCAAATTCAGAACGTCAATACGAACTAATTCGAGTTGCAAATGCTGCTATTGATATATACAGCATGGCGGTAGTACTTTCCCGTTGTAATTATGCGCAAGAGAAAACTGGCGGGTGTTCAGCCCACGATCAAAAAATTGCCAATCTTTTTTGTCGCCAGGCAGCTAAACGTGTGAATGCAAATTTGTGAGAAATTTCTAAATTCGTGTTTATAAAATAATTTAATTTAGAGATGAAGCAATGGGGCCTAGTGAGAGGGAAATGGATTTGATTGCGCAGATTGCCGGTAATGTTTGCGAGAATGGAGCTATGGTCCAAAAACACCCTGTAGATTTGTAATTTTTGATCAATGACTGAATGGAAAAAATTGACATTTATACAATATGCCACTTTATGCCTTATATTTGTAGTTAAATGGACAGACCTCCAGCTAATTTTTGTAATACAAACACCTATATATTTCTAAAAATTAAATTTGCAATGAAAGTGTTTATGCTTTATTAATTATTTAAAATCATTAAAAATGGAAATTCCACCTAAAATGAAGTCTGTTCCAAGATTTCTGGAACGGACTTTATACCCAACAACAAGTGGAGAATTTTGGTATTAGAAAAACTAAAATGGAGTTATTATAATATTATTAAAATAAAATCTAACAATAATAAAAATGCAGAGATAACAACAATTCTGACAAACAAAACATGAGAAGAGGAGGAGAGAAGATTAATTGTGAGACTCCTTTTTCGATTATTTTTCCTGAGTTGAATCAAAACCCTGACAAAATAAAAAGCCGTACTATCAAAAATTGAAGTTATGTATTAATCAGTTTATCTGAATTCGAAGTCTGACTGTATAACAAAAAAGGTGTCTCAATAACATAATATAAGTACCAGTTATGAGTTTGTTTGTATGCTTATATACGTAATTACCCGATTTAGTATTTGTTGCGGCCTCTTCTCTATATTGGGGAGTTTATTAATTAATATTATGGCGCAATGCCGCTTGTTAACAATTGAAAACAATTTGTTGCCGTTGTATTTGTGTAGAATCTGAGGATGATGGTTGCTATTTTGATGGTCATCATCCAATATATTTTGTTGAAAACTATTCTTCATTTCAAACACCGGTGTAGAAATTTTCTTAGCATTTTTTAAATTAAAGTTGAATCAGAGGCATCATTCAAACCTATATAGTTGTATTTTTCAATAAAATTAATTGTTCTTTTTTGAATTTTTCATCTGCTGTAGAATCTAAATTTGTTGTTGAATCAACTATGGGCGAGAGATTAGAAGATTGAGATGGCTTCGATTGTAAACAGTTTCCATCTTGAAGACCGGTAGTGCTAAGGGAAGAGATAGGCGGTCCAGCTAATCCTAATGCTGAAGCACTGAAATTAAAAACATTAAAATAAAATCCAATAATATAAACAAAGCACTTCTGTATATCCAAAGCGCTAGACAAAGACAAATTCGTCCCAGGCCTACTTATTGCTCCACCCGACCCACTGCTACCACTGCGTCTTTGCAGTGTGCTGTTCATAAGAAAATTAGCTGCTGCAGCTTGAAGTAAAGGTGAACGGCTATTTTCGTTAAAACAATTCAATAAATGATTTCCAACTTAAAAAAATTAATTTTCAAAAAATAAAATTTGTAAACAAAAATGTACAGTTGTTAGAATTGGCTGCTAGCACAGATTGAACTAAAGAACCATAATCCTCACAATTTAGGCGAGTACCAGGAATTGGTGTTCCACGTGGAGTTGTTAAAGGTGAAGTAAAGAAAGGAATAGGTGAAGTTAGTGTTGATTGATATCCATTTCCGAGGAATGTTGAGGCAGCAAACATATCAATGTTTGGAAAAACTGGCCTTGGAGTTATCAAACTCTGAAAGAAGTTGAATAATTTTTTATTGAAAATTCATTTTTTTCATTACCGCTGCCTCATTTGGCCTCGAAATAAATTCTTTAATTGGGGAAACCAAAGAAGTATCAAGTGATGTTGTACTACTACTTCCATTCTTCCTTGTATTTGCTGCCTGTACTGCTGCCATTGCTGTTGCTAATGCTGTAGCTGATGGAGATATATTATTAGAAATATTTGTTGATGTTGTTATAATATTATTTGTATTTCCAGATATTGTTGAATTTTGTTGTTGAGCAATTTCTAATAAATTTGGAGAGGCTGCTGTTGTTAATAAAACACGTTTACGCGATGCAACTAATGGTGCAAAAGTTGAAAGTGGTTGTAGAGAAGTAGTAACAATTTGATCAACTATTTGTTGTTGGTTTTGTTGTTGCTAGAAATGTTTAAAAATTAAATTTTAATAAAAAAATCAAAATTGTTTTTATTTTCCAAGTTTTTCGGATTTTATAAGGGTAAAGAATCTGTTATACAAATAAAATTTTTCGGACAATTAGTAGAGCTGTCCGAGACCAAAATTTTTCCAAGACTCAAGACCCAAGACAATATTTTTTCCAAGACCAAGACTCAAGACCAAGACCAAAACTACAAGACTCAAGACCAAATATAATACAAAACTAGAGACAATTTTTAGGTCACATAGGTCAAATTTTTGGTTTATTTTTTGTTATTTTGACACGATCACAGTCAACTTCAGCACCATCACCTATAATTTCGAAAAATCTATGCAAAATTCAAAGAATTTTGGGGAATTTATACGGGTGGAAAATCAATGAGATATATTATTTCGAAGGATTTGGGTGGATTAATGGGATATTAGCGACATCAAAGGGTAAAGCCAAAATTTTGGCGACACCCAACGTTAGCCCTCTTTGAAACCGACCCCCTGGCCACGCCCTTGAATTAAGGAGGATATTGAGGTTTAAAGGGGAAAAAATCATCTCATCCCAGCGCCGCAGGCAAAAATTTTGAGAATTATGTAGACCACGAAGCCAAAAATCTTCCTTTTCCTGCGCCGCAGGCGAAAATTTTGAGAATTTTGGAAGGCCGTAGGCCAAAAAAATTCACTTTTTCAGCGCTGCAGGCAAAAATTTTGAGGATTTTAAGTGGCCAAGCACTAAGTCCAAAAAGGTCAAAAAACCAAGACCAAAAAATAAAACCAAGACAAGACCAAGACAAACACCCCAAGACCAAGACCGAAAAAAAACCAAGAAAAGTCTTGGTTCCAAGACCAAGACCAAGAGTCTCGGACAGCTCTAACAATTAGTATATAAAATGTCAATTTTTTAAACAAAATAACGAGGCAAAAATTCCAAATTTGTATTAGAAAGATTAAGAATTTAAATTAAATAATTTTCTCAAATTTACAATTTTAAACAGAGGAATTGTTTGTTGTTGTTGTTGAATTTCGGGAATATCATTATTGTGATTCTCCAATATTGGAAGAAATTCTTTTGTATAACTAACTTTAATAATTGCCTGTTGATGTGGAATTGAATTAGTAATTTCTTGTTTTCTAATATAATGTTGCCTATTGTTGTTGTTGTTGTTATTTGGAGTTGGTGCTGAGAAAGCAGAGCCAGCACTAAAAATTAAGTTAAAACTCTAAAGTTAAAACTATTAAAAATAACCTTGGAAATGGTTTTTGACCTATTCCACTTAAAATTGTTGAAGTAGAGGAATCCAAAGAAGGATGTTGATTAATAATATTGTTATGTTCTAATTGTTGTTTTCGTTCTAATCTAATTGTATAAGTTACTTTGCCTTCCTTTGATTTATTCTCAGAACAATTTTCTATTTCAATTGGAGATGCACCCGTAAGTTGTTTAATTTCTTGGTCATTTACACTACCTGCACTTTCACGAGAACCATGCCTTGAACGTTTATCTGCTGGTTCATCAAAACTCTAAATTCAGAAAAATAATGAAATAAAAAAAATTTTTCAAACATCATCCTGTTCCAAAATCGTCGAATTTGTTGTACATTCATCAACATTTTTATTATTAATAAAAGATTTAGAAGAAACTGTTAATGATTGTGGAACTCGAGCAATAACTGTTGAATCCCCACCAATTGTGTAACGTCTTGGCTGGGCTCTTTTTTGTTGCTAAAAAAGGAAAAGAATTTTAATTTTTTAACAAAAATACAGTTAAAAGGGAATCTGTGTTTGGATTTCCTCCACCAGGCAATGGCACTAATGCTGTTGGCTTTGGTAAATCTGGAGGGATTAATTTTGTAGTCGTTGTTGGATGCTCTATCTTTATAGGCCTTTGTAATTGAGTGAGGGAAGAGGATGAGCATGCTTCACCTTAAAATAAGAAAGAGAATGAAAGTTTAAATAATTTTTAAAAATACATAACAGTCAGCTCAAAGCATAACTTCTCTTTGGTAAGTTTTAATGCTCAATGCCACAGCTTCTATGTGGCAATGAGCAGTAAATTCGATTTACGGGTTTTCTGACAATTAATTAAAGTTACTCATTCAATTTTTCATCTACCCAAACCAAACTTAAAAAAGAAAACAAACAAAAATACCGTTTTGTACACATTGTGCATCAGTCCCATTACCGTATTTATTTAAGTAAATGGCATTGCCGCAATTTATTGAATTTAAGATAGAAGCTAAAAAGATAAAACCAGTTAATTTTGTTTATATTAACTAACGTTTATGTAGTTTTCGTAATTCATAAGCACTAAAAACGCCAGTTCCCCAAATCCCTTCGCAATCATCTTTTTAAGAATATTTTTTATAAAATTTAATTTCCCAAAAATAACCTTCTTCATCCTCTCTTTTAGGTTTTGGTTTATTTGGATCTGTTGTATAAATAAAATTGGCAAGCCAAAGATCTAATTCTCTTATAGCAATACTAATATGATAAGGATTGACACAAAGTCCGGGTTGTTGACAATTAGGACATTTCTCTAGTCTTTCGCCGTCAGTACTCTCTAATGGTATTCCCTTAATAGAAAAAAAGTTATGAATAATAGGCAGGTTAATGATAGGTAAATTAAAGAAAAATATTAAAGAATCCTTTTCAGACATCAAGTTTGACATAACTTTTACTTTCAGACAAAAAATCTATAAAATTTGAGAGTAATTAATCATAAATTTTTAAGCTGTTCAAAATCCAAATTAAAGGAAAAATCAATTCAATATAACCCTGCATGATGAACGACAATGGGAACAATAAAAATAAGGTAAAATACATTAAAACTTTATATAAAACTATACCATTATTCTTTTTACCTTAAAAAGAATAACCATAACCAAATCCAAACGCCAAACTTTATCAGCTTGTCTTAAACAGTCAATGCGTCGCATTTTGCCTTTTTGATCAGGATTTGAAAGTACACAAAGGGCTGGCTGTTGTCGAGGATTTGTTATTGATTGAACAAAAATGTCTCGGAACTGTGGTTGAATGTCCTTTCTATTTAAATAAAAATTTGTTTAAAAAATTTAGTGAGACATAAAGAGAGGAATATAAAGAACAAGAATAAAGTTATAATTTAAAAATTTAAATGTGCATGAGTCATAACCATCAATAATTAATACAAAAAAGATAGGATCTGGAGAAAAACTTATTCAAAAAGAAAAACTTGCCCATAATTTTAAGTAAAAAATAGAAAAACCTTAATTTTCCTAGAAGACGACCTGCCCATTTTTGTTTTTCCTCAGGACGTTCAGTCTGAAATAAAAGTAAAGTTGTATACTAAATTTCATTAGTAAAATTTAAAATAAAAATTCCAAACCATCAACATTTGTTTTGTTTGCCTTTCTTCATCAAGTGTCATACTTTGTTCACAACGCTTATTATGTCTTCGTTTAGCAGCTTGTAGATTAAACCAAACAAAAGCAAATTCTCGAACATGAGGCAATAAATCTTCAACAAATGGATGAAATTCTTCCTAAAAATTAATAAAAACAAAAATAAATTTTTAATAAAATAAATAAACTGATTGAGTAGCATCTTCGTGATGGTAAATATTTCTGGGAGAATATTGTTGAACAGTAATTGGAGAATTATTTAGAGAATTGGCTTTAATTGTTTGTTGACGGCCATTCACATTTTCTAACCAAACAGATGAAGTTGAAGTATCGCGAACATGACGAAAAGACTGGGGATGTTGCCTCTTTGTAGAGGACATCCATCAAATAAAATTCTTAAAAATTAAAGTTTATTAAGAAAAAATTTATTTTTTAAAATTTTTGTGAATGTCTAATCCTCCCTTAAATTCATTTTAAATTCTTTAAAAATTTGATAAATTTTTGTAAAATTTCAGACAAAATGATATCAAAATTAAATGAATCTCACTTGTAAAATGATAAATTGACCTTTAATTCTCGCAATCTAACATTTATTTTGGAATGCATAAATAAGGGATGAAATGTCATTTATTTTTTTATCTCTGATCTTCAATTTGGTAACTAGTAAAGATTATTTTGAAATGGTAATTTTTATAAAGTTTAGGTAAATATTTGGTCAAATTTTAATATTAAATGTTTTTCTTCAAAGTATGTATTTTAATTTTTGTTTTTGAGATTTACTGTTTGTAATGGCAAATTTATCAATTTATGCTTGGAGAGCTTTGACACACAAATTACATTTTCAACCATTTCTTTTAAATACAAAACAAATTAATTTGAATAATTCAAGTTGTTTCAGCTCAATCAATTTATTCAAATTTAGTCAATTTTCATCTAAATCAAGGTAAAATTATATTAATATATTTATTTTGAAAAATAACTTCTTTCTTGTATATCTTTAATTTTCTTAGATTTTTTAGGATTTTCATTATTTTTTAAAATTATTCTCGTGATGCATATTTCTTTTCTAATTTTCAAACTTTAATCGTGAACCCATCTTTCTAACTTGAACCGTTTAACTTTCACATGAGGAATTTAATTAATTAATCAAGCAATTATTGTTTTCTTTTCTTATAGTTAGATTAACTTCCTTTGTTTTCTATAATCGTGTTTTTTATTTAAAATCAAAACAACAATTTAAAATTTAGACTAATATTTAATTTAAATTCTATTTTAGTTTCAAGTCAACATGTCGCCGAATTCATTTCTGTGCTCAAAGATTTCGAATGATTGAGGGTACAGAAAGTATTCCACCACCGATTCCTATGACGGAAGAAGAGGTTTTAAATATTTTTAGATAAGGGTGTATGGTTGCCACTCAAATTTCCTAGGGGGATCATTTTTGAAAATAGAGGACTTTCAATTTTTTTTCGTTTGCAAAAATTTTACCTAGCCCTCAAATTATTATTTTTTATTTTTATCTATTTTAAAGTAAATTTAAGGTACATCAACGTGTTTTGAAGGCAATCAAAGAATGGGATCGTTTTCCACAAGACCGTGTTGCAAAACTTGAATTGGATGCCCGGTTTGTTGAAGATCTTAGTTTTGATTCTCTTGATTTGGTTGAAATTGTTATGTCTTTGGAAGATGAATTTGGATTTGAAATCTCTATTGAGGTTATTTTTTGTATTTTTAATCGAAAAATATTTAGTCATGAAAAGTTTTAAGAAACAATTTGGTTTGTTTTTTATTCTTGTGGAGCTTTTATTTTTTTGTTAACTGAAAATTCGCCTTTTCTGGCACAAATTTCAAATCGTTTAGAATAAGAAATAAACTTTTTCTCTTTTTAGGATTCTGAAAAATTCAAAACGCCAAGAGATGCTGCAACTTACGTTATTGATCATGAAGGAGTTAACGAGGATGAGGAATTTTAGGAAATAAAGTAAAAATATTTTTTGTTTCTCCCAAAATATATGTTTTTTAAAGGTTTATTAGTAAAAATAAATAATTAAAATATACCTAATTATTTTTAAATTATAGAAAAATATTAATTTTTCTGTTAATTCTCTCTCGAAAAAATATTTTTCACAAAAATACGCAAAATTTCTACAATATTTAATTTTTTTTCAAAATTCTTATTAAAATATTCCCTTCATTAAAATAGATAATATTCCCAACTTTTTTAATAAAAATATTTTCTCTTAAAATATTTTTTAATTAGCTACAATAAAACGAAAATAAATATTTTTTGTTTTTATAAATATTATGCATCATTGCAGAATTATTATTTTGTATAAAGGAAAATATTTTTTAGAAATTTTGCTAATTTTAGAAGGGTTTTAAAGACCAAAAATTGAAAACAAACATTTAAATATTTTTTGATTGTTAAAAGTTCTATTTTTTTTAAATCCTTTTTAGCCTTTAATTCTCTCGTGTTTAAGCATCATCCAAGCATTTCCCTCATAAAATAGGCATTCATTGTTTTTTAAATTATTAACCGGATATTGCCTAAAGGCCTAAAAACATTTTTTTAATAAAAAGAATTGTTTCTTTTTTTAAGGAAAGAGGGGAGGGGGGGGGGGGAAGGGAAGGGTAAAAAATAAAAAAGGAAAAAGGGAGAGCAAAGTTTTTAAAAAAAGTTTTATTATTAACCTTTTTTCTATAAAAAGAAAAATTTAGAAAAGATTTTTTTTCGAGCTTTAAATGACAATTCAAAGAAACAAATATACACATAAAAATATATCTTTTTCTGACGTTTTTCTTCAAATTTTCTTTTAAAAAACCCTAATTTTCTTTTACTTAAAATATTCTCCTTTTATTCTATTTAAAATATAAATTTTAATTTTTTCTCTTTCCCTTTTTTTACCTTAAAAATTTCTCTAAAAATATTTATTTTGGAATTTTTGTAGATCTCTTACAGTTAAAATAAATTAAAAAATCTGTTATTTAGGATTGTTGGTTCAAAGAATTTTTTGAAATTTTAACTAAAAAATTGAGTTATTTTTAATTAAAAAATTGAGAGAATTTATGTACATAAATTTATTTTTTTAATTTATACTTTGTTTTTAAATTTTTTACAAAATAATTTTTAAAAGATAAGTTCAAAAAGGCTTCTTCTTTTCACTTTTTGTTTTAAAAATCTCTTAAATTTTCCCCAATATAACGCGACTTTTGAGGATAATTAACATTAAACTTAAGCTTAAAGTCAGGCAAAATTTTATAAAAACAAGCTAATAATCACAATTATCCACAAAATAATGCAGAGTTTGGAAAAATTATGGCAATTAAGTAGACTAAGCAATTTAGAAGGAAACTTATTTGTAGCCCCATAACTTTTCAAGAATTAGCTGTTTTTTATTTAAAATGGGCCAAAAATTAAAGTCCTTAACCTTAATTTTTTAAATTAAAATTATTTTTTTTTTCTTAAATTATTAAAAATATTCTCAAATACCCTCGAAATATCCTCAAAAATATCCTTCCTTCCTTCCCTTCAATTTAAACAAATCCTTTTTTAAATTTCCTCAATATATTTTTGACATTTTCTTTTTTAAATTTTAATAAAAAAATAAATTTGATGAAGTGACTGACTGACTGACACACAAAAACTTGTCAAAAAATTCTTTTTTTTTGTTTCTTTTTTCTATTACTCAATTACTAACCACTATGAAACCTAAAAATAATTTTATTTAAAATCTTCTGATATTTGATCTGTTAAGGAGGTTAATTTAAATCTTCAAAAAGTTTTAGCAAATTTAAATTCTATTTTAATTTACCTAAATTGATTTTTATTTAAAAAATTGTGTTTTCCCATGAGATTTAAAAGAGAAATTCCCTTAAAAAGGCTTCTTTCTTTCTCTCTTTTTGAATTAATAAAATAAATTAATATTTTTTTATTGTTTTTACTTTAATTATTGTACTGATAAAAAAATAATTTAAAAAAAAGTAAAAATAATTTTCCATTGTTTGTTGCTAATAGCAGCCAGAGGGAGAGACCCATTTAAATATTTTTTATAAAATAATTTTTTGACTCTCAAATAATTTTATAAATTTAAATTTCTCTCATCTTTCCCCTTTCAATATTTAAAAAAAGAGTTTTTTTTAATTACTTGTAATTATTTAAAAATAACAAAATATATAGTTTATTTTTTTTAAACTTTTTTCCAGGCTTAGAATCTGCCTTGATAAAATCCAAAAAATGTTTTTGAAAATTTCACAATTTTTATAAAATTTAAAAAAATTTCCTTTATTTAAATAAAAAATAAAAATATTATTTTCTATTTTTTAAATAATTTTTCTTTTTTAAAAAATTAAATTAAATATTTATTTTTATTTAATTATTTTTCTCTTTAAAAATAAATTAGTTTCACATTTCTCGAAAAAAAGCTTTTTATTTTCTTTAAAAATTAAAGAGAAAAATTAGTTAAAAAGAAGTATGTACTTAATTTGTTTATTTGTATATTTAGACAAAAAACACTTTTTTCTTTCCTTAAATTATTTTTTAAATAACTCCCACACTTTTAAATCCTTTTAAAAAATATTCACAAATTTTTGTCATAATTTTAAAGACTTACTGGATCAACATCAACATATTTAAAAAGCCCTTTGTGGATGTAAAACAAATATTTTTTATTTTATAATTTTTAAAAAATAAAAAAATAATTACAATCTTAACCAATGGTGAAAGCTCATACCAAAATTCGTACTAGTGACGAAGGCACGAGTACGAGCAAAAAATAAGGCCTGTAGGAGTATGAGACCGAGAAAATTTCAAAATTCCAACCACTAATCTTATCTTTTAACACAAATAAGTTAATTCATCTATATGTAAAAAGTTATATTTTTATTTATTTATTTAAATAATTAATTTTCTTTAAATATAATTTGTTCATTTTTAAAAGTTTCCCTACTTTCCTTTTTTCATTTTAAATTCCAAAAATAGAAATTCTTTTTTTTTATTTTCCACTACTTTAAAAGTAAAATTTACTTCATTTTTTAATAATTTTTTTTTAAAAGAGTTTTTTTTATTGTTAAGGAAAGGCTTTTAAAATTAAAAAGAGAAAAGAAAGAAGGGAGGAGGGGGAAGCCTTTTTGTTTTTTAAATTGCAAAGGATTTTTAAAATTAATACAAAAAAGTATAAAATAAAGAAAATCCGAAAAAGGTTGTTGCTGCCCTAAAGTAAAAATGAAGAAAAAAAAAAGATTTAAAATAAAGGACGGAAGTAAAAAAGGAAAAAAAGAAGAAAAGAAAATAATTAATAAATATTCTTCCCAACTCTCCCTTTCTCTCATTTACTCTTTTAAATATTTAGATTTTTAAAAAATTATTTGGATATTTACTAATTATTAAAATATATTTATTTCGTCATAAAAACAATGGAAGAAGAAGAGAAATTTAAGGATTATGGTGGAAATATAAGTATTAACAATATATCTTCTGATGTTAAAATTGAAAATAATTATGAAAATGATATTAATTATAGAATTAAGGTAAATTAATTTTAATAATTTTATAAAAATAAAATAATTACCTATAAAATAATATAAAGTTTGGAATAAATTAAGGAATTTTGCCAGAAACATTTAAAATTCTCCATATAATAAAACCGATATCTGGGCAAAACCAAAAACTTAGTGTCAGATCACCAACACTACTTAAAATTTGGAGGTCGGGGGTAGCTATTCCCTATTTACAGAGAAATATTTCAATAACCTTTTTTGGGGAGATTCTCTTAGTTAAATCCCCATATTTTTAACCTTTTCTATTAAAATTTAAAATTCCTCCCTTTTTTAATTAAAGATGTATCAAGTTGTAATACCAGCATTTTTATTTCTTTCTCTTTTGGCAGTAATTGCAAATTCTTTGGTTATTTTGGCATTAAAAGCTTCAAGAGTTCGAAATGCAACAGTTACTTTACTTTTAAGTTTAACATTTTCCGATATTTGGTAGAAATAATTAATTAAATTAATTTTAAATAAATATTTAAAGGTCAAGTTCTGTAATGGCTTTATCTCTTTTAATAAATAGTTATTTGCCTACAGTTTTACATACACAACCAAGACCTTGTGTTTCGCTTTCTCTTGAGGTTTTTTAATTAAAATTTTTGTAAATTAAAAGAATTAATTATAAATTAAATAATTTACTCGATTAATTTAAGCTTACTTAAATTCTAAAACTTTTCATTCAATTAATCAAAGGAGGGTAATTAAAATTAAAATATTTTAATAAACTTGGGGGAATACCTATATTTCTAAAAATATGGATGTTTGCTGGGTCGAGAATATTAATAGCAAAATAAAAATTTATTTTTAATTTCCAGATGTTAAGAACGGGTGGTTTATTAACGGCAGCATTACATTTATTACTTATTGCATTAAATCATTGTGTGGGTATTGTACGTCCACATATGGATAAAGTAAAAAGAAAAAATAAATTTAAATAATTAATTCCTTCTTTTTATTAAAGCATCGTTTACGTCGAATAGCTTTTTTACTTTGTATTTGTGCTTGGTCATTCCCTTCAATTATTTTGTTTATTTTATCTTTAAGTAGAGAAAATCAAGGATTATTTAATTGTGAAAGAGTTGATTTTTATAATGAAAAAATATTTAGATGGGCAGTTGCCGGGCTATTAGCTATTTTGTTTTTGGCAATAACTTTATGTTATGCTAGATTGGTTAGAAATAAATGTTTAAATTTAAATAAATAAAAAAATTAAAGCTTTGTTTAATGCATTCAAGAAATAATATTGTTAATAATAATAATAAAAATGAAAATTCTTTACCCCAATCTGCTAGAAGTAATAATAGTAATGAAAGAAAAAGACGTCGAGAAAGGAGAACTCTTTGGACTACTTTACTTATTTGTGCAAGTTTTCTTTTAGGATGGGCACCTGCTAGGTATTTTAATTAAAATATGTATTTTAATTCAAAATAAGATAATATAACACCCTTTCCCCTAGACTGGGCTAGAATAAATGGGGAAGATAGAAAGGACAAACTAGAATTTCTTAATTTCATATAATTAATACTTTAATTCAAAAAATAATTAAAATATATTTTTTTAGTGTTTTATTTGCAATAACTTGTTCTGAATGTCGTTTACTTAGCAGTATTGGATCTTTTCGTCTTTTATTTGGACTTAGTTGTATACAATTAAGTTTTCTTCTGGCAAAATCCTTACTTAATCCATTAATTTATTCTTTACGAATTCCTGAAGTTAGAGAACAATTTAACAGACAAATTAATAGAATACAGTCTTTAGAACCGAGAAAATACCTTATTAGGTAAAAATGTTTTTTTAATTATTATAAGTAATTAGAAAATTAAATATTGGGTATTTTCTAATTAGAAGATTAAGTGTGATGTCAGAATTTGAATAGTTTCCAATATTTTTTAATCCCCGGTATATCAGATAACGTAAATACTAAAATAGTCCCCGGGGGCTATTTTTTCGATCGACCGCCAGAGGGGGCTAGAGGAAATACGATATTTTAAATTAGCTCTTAGATTGCAATCCCAACTTTTCTACACAAATTAAAATAAAAATATTTTTCTTAGAAGTTGGCACAAAGCAACATGTTCTAAAAGTAAAACAACATTAGCAACAACAACAGCAACATCCCCACCACCTTCCCCTTGGAAGTGGAGAAGAACCCAACGTGCACGTTCACATCTTTTTGGTTCTTCAATTTCTTCAGTAACAAATATAAATTTAATTAACGGAAATGGAGGGGGACGTGTTTCTTTTTGTTATAATGATGATATTAAAGAAGAAGAAGGACAGCAAAATAATTTTCGTTTAAGTTCTTTAAGAGAATTAATTCAACAAACATTTAAACAAAAAAATAATTTAAATAATTGTAGAAGAACACGTTCTGAAATAAATAAAAGAATTTTGGAACAAAAAAGAAGAGCATCAACAACAATGACAATAAAAGGATTTAAAGAAAATAATAAAAGAGGAGCTAGAATGTCTGAATGTCCAGACTGGCTACAATTTAATGGAAGGGTAAAATTTAATACAAAATATTTTGACTTTGTTAAGAGCAAGAGTGTCTGACCATTCAAAAGTTATGTTTGGATACAAGTTTTCAATTTTTTGAGGTTTAGAATGGCCGGGTCTCTATTTCTAAAATAAAGAGAAAAATCTTAATTGTAGCATTTACAAAAAAAGAATTTAAAAATTAAAGTTTATCCAACCAAAAGAAGTTTTTGGGGTATTTTTAAATGTTATTTTTCAGATTTCTGAATTTAAACCACAAAGATTTTCATATGATGGAGGACAAATATCACATTTAGCAGCAAAATACAAAAAAGATAATAAATAAATTTTGCCTTAATAATTAATTAATAATTTGTAATTTTTTTTACTCTGGTCTATTAAATAACTCTGGTCTATTAAATACGTCCCTTTAAAAAATAAAACTAGCAATTTTATAACAGAAAATTTGAGTTTTGTCTCAATGTCCTATATTTCTTATATTATTCCCTCTCTTGCTCTTTACATAAACTCCAAATAAATTTTTTGGAAACTACATATTGGGGACAAATGAATGAATGGATCAGAGTGGATATTTCTATTTAATTAAAAAGTTGTTTTTGTGTTAAAATAAATATATTTTGAATAAATTATTTTTTAAACAATGTTTTTATTGTGTCGTGTTGTGGAAATATTTATTGGATGGGAGTTTAAATTGAATTCAACCTAGTGGATACGCGAAAAAAATTTACTTTGCATCATAAGCGAAAATTTTTAGGTGGATATCCGCGGATTCAGAGCTTCATAGCCGTATCTGATAATAACATCCCTATCCTTCCTTATCCGTAGATATCTGCGGGTGTCCGGATATTATCCGTATATGTAGATACATATGACCATGCCTGTATTTTATTAATAAAAATTATTAAAAAATTTGATTTAAAGATGTTTTTGTTTAGAGGATCGATCGAGATTTGATATTATGAGCTCGATTTTGATACGAGATACAGTAACTGGATAAGAGAGAAGCATTGAAAAATTCTCGAGAATTTATATTTGTTTGTGTGATATTCGTTTTAATCTAACAAAGTTGTAGCCAAAAAATTTTAATATAAAAACCACCCATTTTCTAATCATTTTCATACAACACATTGCTTCTTCATAATTCAAAACTCAACTTTCTTGTGCCTGTTACAACTACATTCCTGCTAGCTGATGGCTGTTCCCTGCACCCGTCGCCTTCTCATAATTGGACTTTTGCTGGTGCTTGCCGCTGATATTGCGTTTGGACGTTTTCTGCCTGCTGCTGTCGAACAACATAATCTTCGCTTCAAACGTGGGGCTGATGACATCTTTCTGCGTGATACTAAGGATTGGAGCAAGTACGGCATCGCTGCGGGTGTCTATCTAGTTATGTAAGTTATCCTCTAATTTTCATTCTTTTAAAAATCGTTTTTCTAAATTTTAGCTCCCTTGTGATCTACGTTGCTACATTCTGTTGTGCTCTTGAGAAGAAATGTGCCGCTGCTGCGGTAATTAAAATAGATTGCGAAGAGTCTCCCTAATTTATTAAAATTCTTTCCAGGGTCCACCTCCTTCGGCATCAGCAACTTCTCTCGGTCCAGCTAGCAGTGTGGCGAGTTCAGCAAGTACAAGAACGGCGAAAGGCCCGAGCCCGAGTGAGGCTAGTATGCGGACAGCGCTGCAACAGTCAATTAGGATGGACTCGAGGACGCAAAGGGAGACGGAGAGGGCTGCTGCTTCATCTCGCAAGTCTGGAAAGGTTTCGCCATCGACTCGCCTTCCAACGGCATCTGCGAAGGAGCAAACGGCATCTAGGAAGACGACGTCTGCCAGGACTTCATCTGCTAGGACCGCATCTGCTGGAACCACATCGAAGAAGAGCACGTCGAAGGCTACCAAGTCGAAGAAAGGGACCTCTTCAAAGGGGACGACGGATACTGGGAAGAGTACTTCGGGATCAGCCCGTTCGACTTCGGGCGGAAGCGGTGTGTTTTTTGTTTTGGATAATTTTTTTATTTTTCTTTAGAAAGCGGCAGCAAATCATCTGGTTCCGGTTCCGTCTACTCCGAAACTTCCAGTGGCGCTTCCAGCGGTTCGAATGAGGGTACAACTAGCGGTGGATCTCATAGTTCTGGTTGAAAAGGATAGAAGGAAAAGGAAAGAATGGATGGATGAAATAAAGATATATAAAAGCAAAATACGTTCATGGTTGTGTTGTAGAGCCTATATTGTTGTTATTGTCCTCCTAAAAAAGATTTTGTATTCCCTCCTTCCATTATTGTATTCAATCACATGTAGGTATGTATGTATATTATATGCTGTTATGTCCGAAAATAATCGGGGATGTACTATATTGTTGTTTTGACACAATTATTGTATTCTTTATGTTGTGCTATTTATGTAATTGTCATATGTATATTCTGTATAAATAAACCTATTCTGTGTCATTTGAGGTACTTTCATGGTATATCATATACCTAAAGATAAGTAAGATGGTCCAAAACATGCAAATGCATGTTTTTAATGCATATTTTTCGGTGCATATTTTGGTCCATATTTCGTCATTTTTGTAAAATTTTGCCAAAATTGGTATAAATTTTCAAAATTTTGAAGAATTTTGGTCAAAAAATGTTTATAAAATTTTTTTGAAAATTTCTCCGGGAAAATTTCTACAAAAAAATTTTTTGTAGAAATTTTAAATACATAAAATCTTTTCAAAATGCTCTTAAATTGAAAAGTATACGCCTCGCAATTTTTAATATCCGGGCCCTCCTTAAAAATTATTTGGTTAATTAATAATTATCTTATTTAAAAATTAGTTAAGAATTATAGGTCAAGCAAAAATACGAATCAACAAGTATGCCTTAATTGTAAAAACAAATTAAAAAAACATTAATTATTAAATTTTTTATTAAAAAATACATAATAAAAATAAAGCACCAAAATATTTTTTCTTATTTACTTTTCTTCTATTGTTTAATTAATTACCCGTTTTTGTTTTTCTTTATTTGCATAGTTCTTTTAATAATAAAAAGCAAAATATTTTCTTGATTTTACACATAGCTAACATCATCAGTATCACATGATGAAAGTAATCGAACACTTAAATGGCCACCAACTCCGTCATCTGGCAAACAATCCTTTGAAATTAGATAAAATTATTCAACCATGTTTAGTTTATTTTAAACGAAAGGAACTTTTATGAAAGTTTTGACAATTAAAATTAATATTGAAAGAATTCAATATTTGATTAGAAATAATACAAATTATATGTATTTATTTACAATGCGGGCAAAAGTGTATTTATGTATGATTTAAATTACTTTTCCAAGTTGAACAGTAACTTCGCCAGAGCGAAGTGTAGCTCTTCTACCAAGATCAGAATGCTGTCCATTTTGTTGTTGAACAAAACTTTCATCCATAGATTTATGTGAAAGTAACTTTCGTTGATTTTGGTTAGAATTATTACTAAAAATATGTTAATTTTAATTAAAAACTACTCAGATTTTATCCTTTTAACAATTTTTATATAAAAATCTGTGTTGAATTTATCCTATTTTTATCCTATTTTTATCCTATTTTTCAACTCCAAATTAATTGTCAACTGTAACATAAAAAATTCGAAAGGTAAGCTTAAAATTAACTTAACATATGCCAATACTTTTAATTTAAAATTATTTAAAAATACTTTTTTATTTTCAAATCCATTTTTTCCATATTTTCACTATTCATTTTTAAATAATAATTATTATTATTATTAATATTATTTTCATTTCGTCTGATAGAAAGTGGGGAAACTAAAATTGAGGTAGTAAATGAGCGTTGTTTGTGTGCTTGGAAATTTAAACGTCTTTGAGATGGCGCTGTAGAAGGGGATTGAAATTGATATTTTAAATTGTTATTTTGAATAAAAAATTGTTGTTGTTGGTTAGTTGGTGGTGGATCTTCTAGTGGTACTTTAAAAATAAAATTTAAAATAATTAGAGTTTGGCTGGATTCGATTTTTTCCTATTTAATCAAATAAAAAATCGACCGAAATGTCCGGTCGGCTTCTAAAATAAATAATAATTAAAAAAATATTTCCAAAAATTTTATTTTTAATTTTAAAACTCACAACTTTTCCCCATTACTGTCCCCAATGTTTTCAATCTATTCAATTTTTGTTTTTCATTTATATTATTAGTTGAATTTGTTGTTCCCAAAGATTTTCTTCTTCCAAAAATAATTTTTTGTTTATTTAAATCATTTGGACAATTAACTAATAATTCCATTTCATTATCCAATAAAAGTTCATCATCATCATCTTCTTCCCCTTCTTCTTCTTCCTCACCTTCAATTTGTTCATCTTCATTATTTGTAGATATTGTTGATTCCAATGTTGAATGATAAACACTATTTGCTTAAAAATAATTTTTTTAAAAAGTTTGAAAAAAATTTTGATAAAAAATAATTTTAATTATCATTAATTGTCCAAAATTTATTCGATAGATACTTTTATTTTTTAAATATTTAAATAAAGCAAAGCACCCACCCAATTCTAAAATATTTGTAAAAATGTTAAAAATTAATTACAATTATTAATTCCCATTCTGACAGATTGTGGAGGCAAAGAAGAATCAGAAGCCCCAGCCGTAGCTGCTAATGAATGCCTTCTTTGTGGTTGTGCTACACCTGGATAATCGGCAAAGAATCTACACCAATCTAAACGGCGGTCTTCATCAAATATTTCAAAGGCGTATTTAATAATTAATTCTACTGCACGGCTTTGACGATGGGCATCGCTAATAAATTGTTGTTGTTGCTAGAAAAAATAATAATTTAATTATGTATCAAAAATCTGAAAAGGTCATGGCCATATAAATACTTACAGCTAATTTTTATTAATAAAAATTTTTTTGGTGATTTTCCGTGTATATTTTGGCTAGCCCCAGTCATAATTAAAGAGAATTATTTTATTTTTTTAAACAAAATATTTGTAAAAATTAAAAGAAAAGGATATTTCAATTTAATTAATTTTTTAATTAATTAATTACATTATTATTTGTTGGTTGAGAAAGATTATTAGAATTAATTCCTCCTCTTCCAACAACAGCATTAGGGAGAGGTAAACGTTGCCAAAGAAGTGAAGGGGCAATAACTGCTGCTAAATTTGATGCAGTCATTAAATTTTGTAATTCAAACCTTTTAAATTTAAAACAAATAAATTGAATTTGGTAAAAAATAAATAAATCAAATTTTTATTTAAATCTCTAACCAAGTAACTCTATTTAAATGTAATGCCAGAAATCGGAGTGTTTGCATATTTGGAATTGGTAATTTTTTAACAAGTTGTTTTAATAAATTAATTAATTTTAAATAATTTTCTTCATCTTCCTTATCTTCTAATTTATTTTTTATTAAATTATTTTCTTCTTCATTTCCTCCCTCTTTTAAATATATTTCAACACTTAACCATTCCGTATATAATTCATATGAAAGTAATGGTTCTGGTAATCGACGTAAATAAAGTTTAACTACGGAAGCAATATTCATCTTTAAAAATTTAAATTTGTTTAGGATTTTAAACATATTATTTAAAAATATACTTCCCCCTCCCCCACCACCCCCACCCCCCACTACCCTCTCCTTGCCCCATTTTTAGAAAACTTCAAAAATCCTTTCAATATTCATACACCTATTTTTACAAACTATTTCACAAAATCAAAAAATATTTAAAAACTTACAGGATGTACATTACTTAAATCAACAGGCGAATCGTTTGTGCTTTGTTCAAATTGAACACAAATTTCTTCAACTTTACTTTTAACACCACATGTACGATATAAACCCTGAAAATTAAATAAACAAATAATTTATTATTTTAATTATAAATTAGAAAATAATAAATTTACAAATTCTTGTAAATTTTATTTTATTATTAAGGTAATTTCAAAGAAAATAATCAAATTATTTATTTTCCATATGAGAAATTAAGTCTCCAAAAAGTGTAGACAATTAATTTATTAAAGGAAGTAAATCCAAAATATTCCCAAATTTTACAAATATTTATTTAATTTTAAGTTAATTTTCCCACCTTACAACACATCCCTCTCCTTTGTAATTCATCCAAACATTTTTCTAAAATTAATGGAATTTGTCTCTTCTGTTCACCCAAATGTATATTTAGAGGGACTCCAAAAATACTTGTTCTTCTCAAATTTAAATCTTTCCCGTCATTTTGTTCATCAAATTTTCTCATATTTGGGCCACAACGAATTTGGACATTTGGTAAACATTTACGATGCCAAACTAAGGCACAACATTGACATTTTAAAGCATCAAAAAGTAATAAATGTTCACACTAAAAATTAAAACAAAAATTAAAATTTTGCAGAAATTTTAAACCAAAAAACTCCAAAAATTAAAAATTATTTTTTTGATACAAATTTAAAGAAATTAATGATTATAAATTAATTTTAAATTCAAAAAAATTAAATTAAAAATATAAAAAGTATGTACCTGTGCACATTTAGCTACTTGTCTAGTTCTTTGTAATTTATGAGTACGTGCTGCTTCTGAATATAAATTAGAAAAATTTTGTTTTCCACCAGAAGAAGAGGAAGAAGCTAAAATATTGTTAACTGCTGCTGATGGAGAGGAAGAAGAGGATGATTGAATATCAAAAAGTTTAGCCATTGAAGTTTTACTAGCTGTTCTACGCTTTTGTTGGGCCTGTTAATTTTGAAATTTAAAAGAAGTTTTGTTTTTATTCAAAAATATTTACAAAAGAAAATTAGAAATATGAGAGCAAAAAAACTTAAAAAATTAATTTACTTCAAAATTACTACCAATAATTTAAAGTCTTACTCATTAAAATATTAATTTTTTTACTTAGAGTACTTTACTCATTCAGTAAGAATACTAGCAATTATAAAAATGATGGGCAAGCCTCTCATTTCATTTAAAATATATCCCAAGGGTTAGATTAACTTGAAAAAAGAATTTTTTAAGAATAATTTCTACCTCCGTAACAAGTAAATGTTCTTCGGCTGCTGCCAAAGCATTTCTTCGTTGAACAGCTCTATTTGGAGAAGGAATTGAAGATGAGCAAGCTGAAGCAATACTTGTTGTTGTACTACTTCCTTTTTGTGTAGCTAAAAGGGTTGTTGGACGTTGATGGGGAGAAGAGCCGGAATCAGAGGAGCAAAAAGGAATATTTGAACAATTAGAAGAGTCAATCATTTTACTTTAATATTTTAAAATTATATAAATGTAATCTTGAAGAGTGGACAAGTTAAAGAAGGGATAGGATAAATTATAAATTGTAAGATAAGAAATGATAAGATCTTAGGGAAGAGAAAAAATTAAAAGTAAAGTCTCAAGGAAGTCCAAACCCACCATTGCCCATTTGATGTTGTTGACACATTTGAAGTAAGTAAAGAATTAGATTGTTGTTGTTGAAGGAAGGACATAAATTCTTGACCCGGTTGGCTGGTCCTTGCCACATCAGCGAGTCTTTCCAGTTCTTGAGGAACAGGCGCCCAAAGGTTGGCAATTCCCTAAATTATAATTTTAGATAAATATTTTAAAATAATTTTACTTTAAGAAGTGTAGCAGTACAAGCAATTGTTGTTAATTCACACTGACGAATTAAATCAGAAAGTTCATGAATTGTTCGACACTAGAAATAATTTTAAAAATTTTTAAAAAAGTTGCAAATATAAAATTAAAAGTTCCGGGTCAGTTTTTGACATTTTAACAAAAAAAAGAATTGTCTGATAATATCATAAAAAATAACAAAAATATTTATAAAAAATAGCCTCTTGAGAATTAAGGGAATTTAAAGACAATAGAGAGATGATATATGTATTTAAAAGGGGAATTATGCAAGAAATGAGAAGGCAAGAAAGTAAGGGAGATAAAGCATATACATACAAGGAGGAAAACAAAAGGCTTAACTAATAAAGTAACTGATTAATAAATAATTTTCCGAAGTTGAGATATGTAAAAGAAAAATCTGGGGCTCGAAATTCACCTTTGTATATCAAAAATATTTCTATTGAAAAATCGAAAATGTACATACATAATATATGAAAATGAGAAAATCTAAGATAAGGTGTCTTCTTTGAAACCAGTAAGACGAGAAAGAGGGAGAGAATATGTACTAAAACAATAATTTTAAATTTAAATCTCTTTCCTTTTAAATTTTTTTAACTAAATCTAGATATATTTTATAATCTTTTAATTTTTACTTTTACATATGTAATATGCTTAAGTATGATCTACCCCTTAGGGCAATATTATGCTATCCACATAAAAAGAATGACGGTCCATTCTTTGAAAATTCTATTTTCCCCATCTTTTCTCTTTTGGCCATTTCCTAACCTCAAACCACTTTTGCACCACTCAATGCTTTTTGAAAATTTTTCTAGTAACAAACAACGTGCACCAGTTATGCCTTAAGTCTGTAGTAGTTATTGAGGAAGACACCTCGAATTTTTTAACGATGGACAAGATATAACAAAAAAGGAGAAACGCGTGACAAAAAAATATAACGAGGGCGAAAAAAGGAAATAAGAGGAAATTGGATTTGAAAGTAAGGAAGGAAAGAAGTGGCTGGAAAATTTAAGAAAATGAATATTTAACCTTTTAGAAAATATTCTAAGTAGATGATAAACAGAAAAAATTTAAAAGAAAATCCTTGTGGAGGGAGGATAAATCAAGTATCAAATAATAAAGTTATCATTTTTCTTCCAAATTACTCCTAAAAATTATCTAATCAAACATCTCCAACAATACCACATTCTCTTTGGTAATCCAAACGGTTTGAGATTTTTCGAGTAATCTTCTTTTCCTTTTTTCAAAGTAAATACATAAACTAGCACTTAAATATGTTTAAAAAAAGTCTCATCAATTCTTTGGAAAGTTCTCACTCATCTCAGCCCTTCTTCACTTTCGCTTGGATGACGTTGAATGGACAATAAATAGGAAAGAAAGTAAAAAAAAGTGGCAATTCAAATATTATATTTGTGCTTTTCGACGTTTTTTTTCTTTTTTAACTAAAAAGCCCCCGCAGCAAAAGAATTCTCTTATTTTTTATTGTTAAGCCAGGAAATTCGAGAATCGTGGGTGCCAACACTAAGGGGGGAGAGAGGAGAGGGGTTACCGTTTCCGGTTTTTCTGCTTATGTTTGAAGCTAAATAAAAATGTGAAAGCAAATTTTGAAAATGAATTGATGGAAATGTGTTTAGAAAAAATATAAAAAATGTAGAACTAAAACAGCGGGAATTGTTAAATAATAGAGAGAAAAATAAAATTTACAAAATTATTTAGAAAATAAATTTAAAAATTAATATGTATGTAGATTGAAGGGAATTTATAGAGGTGTATAATACCGAAAAATTTATAAGACAGACCACATTTTTTGGCATAAAGAAGAATTTTCAGAATTTTTTGAACGACTCATGACTGGTTTTTTGAAGATAAAACTTTTTTGAAGAATAATCCTGGCGTCAAATCGTGACGGCGCCGAAATGTTCAAATAAAGCCCAAACCTGTTGAAGCCTAAACCTTTTGGATTAAAAAGACATTTTGGCGTCGACAACGTGGCGCCAAAATTATTTCTTCACCCATAACATTTTTAAAACTGACAACTCTATTAACAAATTTATATCAATCGAAGGCTAAAGAAATAGGAATTATTTCTCAATGGATAAATTTTAAGAAAAAAAAATTGGCCCTATCTGAAAATAATGCGGCAATCAAATTTTTTTCCTTATTCTTAAAAATGGTTAATTTTCTTATATTTTTCTCTCTTTTTTGTTTTTTGCCTTAAGACTATAAACGCAAAAGGATTTATTTTTCTTTCATTTTGTGAGCATTTACAGTAAGGTGCAAAAGTTTATGCCGCTGCACCTCGCACTCAAAAAAGTCGATATATCTCAGGAAGAAAAGGGAGTTAAATTAAATCGATTATCTATTAATTAAATATAGTTCATCCGTTTATAATATTCGTAAAAAATTTTTTTTAATACATAACCTCGTTATTCAAAATTTATTCGGTCTTAATTTATTTACCTCAAATTTTGGGGGAGCAAAAGTTTATGCCGCTTGTAGAAAAAAAATTTTTTTGGTTCTAAAACAAGACGAATAAAGTTCCAAAATTTTTTATAAACATCTACATTGATAATGAATGGAAAAAGAGAAAAAACGAAGTCTGTACTCGCTTTATTCATTGAGATCCCAAATCTCAAAAATCAACGGGAAATGAGGTTACAGTACTTGAAAAAATATTTTAGCTCCCTAGGGCCTGTATTAAAAATTCTTTTTGGGCTCATTAGAAAGCCCATAAAATTTGCTACAAAATACACTTGGTCTGATATGCTTGAAAAATTTCAGCTTCGAGATAGAGTGACATGAATGCACAATGTTGTCAAAATTACTAAAAATACCCTATAAAATGCTTAATTCTATTTCTTCAGATATTCATGCCACCCTACTTCTGAGTTGAAATTTTTCAAATATAGTAGACCAACCGTATTTTGTAGTAAATTTTATGGGCTTTCAAATGAGCCTAAAAAGAAAATTTAAAAGAATTCATAAGGGGTCGAAAATATTTTTTCAATTACTGTACCCCGATTTTACGTTGATTTTTGATATTTTTGATCTCGATGAAAAAATTATTTATCGAATTGATTCTTTTTGCTCTTCCATTCATTATCAATATAGATGTTTATAAAAAATTTTGGAACTTTATTCTACTTGTCTTAGAACCAAAAAAAATTTTTTTACTAAAAGCGGCATAAACTTTTGCTCCCCCAAAATAAGAGGTAGGTAGGGTTTTCCGCCTATAATTTTTGATTAAAATTGGTATGGGAAATTTTTTCTAGAAATTTTATGAATAGAAGGCCTACTCTTAAAAAATATATAATCGATTTTATTTTTGTCCCTTCCTTTCTCGGGTTATATCGACTTTTTCCTATGCGAAGTATAGCGGCATAAACTTTTGCACCTTACTGTACTTTTTTTCTGTCCGTGTTTTAGATGACCGATGTGTGTGCGTGTTTTGTCTGTCCGGGTCCGTCCTGACAAAACACGGACGGTCACAGACAGACAAAACACGGACGGTCACAGACAGACAAAACACGGACGGTCACAGACAGACAAAACACGGACGGTCACAGACAGACAAAACACGGACGGTCACAGACAGACAAAACACGGACGGTCACAGACAGAGAAAACACGGACGGTCACAGACAGACAAAACACGGACGGTCCTTGTTTTGTCTGCCCGTGTTCGGCCGTGTTTTCTGCCCGAGTCCGTCTTTGTTTTGTCTGTCCGAGTCCGTCCATTTGAAGTGAACGAGGGAAAAAGTCCGACCTTTCTGTACAAAATAAGGAAAAATGTGGAAAGGAAAAAATGAAGGAAAAAATTTGATTGCCGCATTATTTTCAGATACGGCCAAAAAATTTATGGAAACAAAAATATTGGCGCCAAATAATCTGCGCCGAATTGTCTTCGACCGTTTCCCCTACAAAACCTATACCTTTTGGTTTCAAGTTTTAAGCAAAAACTTGAAGCCAAAAGGTATAGGTTTTATAAGGGGAAACGTTTTGGACAATTCGGCGCAGATTTTTTGGCGTTAACGAAATTTTAGTCCTAATTTGTAAGAAATAATACGACTTGAGACAAAACTCAAATTTTCTGTTAAAGGGACGTATTAAAGGTCAGAGACTAATCTTAAGACCATTCACTGATCTCTTAACAAAATAGATAAATTAATTTCAAAACAACAAATTTACCCTCAATTCATTCAATTTAGCTCTATATCCATCCAATTCCCTCTCTAATCTACAAACTTCTTGTTCAGCATCCTCCTTTCTATTTAAAGCTTCTTCTTCAACTTTTCTACGTTTTTCTACTTCTTTACGCCTTTTTTGAAATATTTGTTGTTGTCCTAAACTGCTATTTCCTTCACTATTCCGAATTAATAAATTTTGTTGTTTTTGTGTATTTATTGGCAGTATTTGATGGCATTCACGTTCTTGACGAATTGTTACTTCCCGAGCACGTAAATATTGTTCTCCTTTATTTGTATGTGTTTGTCGAGCTCTTCGAAGTTCTTCGACACATGTCTCCTTTAAAAATTATTAAATAGAGATAAGACTTTACTTCTTCTAGTTTACAGATTTAAATTTCTTTTCCTATCAACTTGATTATTCTCACAAAATTAAAATAAACTAATTACCAACCATTTGCTTTCGTTGTTTTGCATATTCAACTTTAAGCTTTCTTCTTCTTATATTGTGTTCTTTTTGACGACTTTCTAAGCTCTTAAAAATAATTTTTTAACTTTTCCTTTATTAAAAAGTTTAATTCCCAAAAAAACATAAAGTATTTTTCCATTAATTTTTTAGATTTTTTTATTCCCAAGGGACAAGATCCATTCATTACCTCAATAAATCTTTGTTGTAATTGTTGTACAGTAGAATCAGCCCTACTTGCAAATTGTTTAGTATTCTCCATTAATTGTCCAAATAAAAGAGATAAAGGCATTTTTTGATCTAATGATGAAAATTGATTTTCTATTTGTTGATTTGTTAGAGGGCCTAATTGTTGGTCTGACATTTTAAGTAATCTTTGGCTATATTCTTGTTCTAATGAAAGTCTGGCACGTGCAAAGGAAAGCAATTGAGAAGCATATTTAGACCAGTCTGAGAAAATAAAATTTTATTTTTAAACTATTTGTTTACAATTTAGGTACAGAAAGTTATTTGAATAATAAATTAATAAATAAAATATTTGGAGAATTTCCTTTTTCTTAAACTTTATTTTTTCCTTAATTTCAATAAATTCATAATTAAAATTTACTTTTGCAGCGCTCAAAGGCAATTTCCAGCCCATCAGTGCGCTGCTCAAGTAATTGCCACATTGGTTTGCATTGATGGCCAATACTGCTACAGCTACTACTAGATACAATTTCTACCGAATGTGAACTTGAATTATTGGAAAATTGTTGTTGTTTACCTTAAAATTTTGTAAAAAATTATTTTTAATTCCAAAAAAATTAAATTTAATGTTTAACTTAATAATTTTAATTTTTTGAATTTTTTTCTAATAATTAATTAATTAAAAACTTCTAAAATATTCATTGAACATTTATCTTTAAATTGATTTTTAACAAAATATTAATTAAAATTGTTTTTAAATTTTTCTCTCCTTTATTTCCACAACTCTTTTTTAAAGTTTTTTCTTCCCTAATTTAAATTATATGTTTGGCTGTGAATAAATCAAAAGAAAAAAAAATTGAATCTGAATTTTCTAATAAACAATTTAAGTTATTATTGAAAGATTTTAACATTAAAATCCCGGGTTTGGGATAGGACTAATTCCTTTAAGTAAAAACACTTTTTCTTTTGCCAAAATCAAAGTCACTTTCTCTCTCTTATAAATAATATTTTAACAAAAATCTCTTTTTTAATTAATTAATTTACGTAATTAAATAAATTGTGTGGTGTTTTTGTTAAAAGAAAATATTTTAAAAATATTTATTTTGTTTCAATTCCCAGTTAACAAGGTTATTATAATATTCGCGCCATTTTCTACAAACAGTTTATAGTCTTTTAGCAAAATTATTTTGCTTTTATTTTTTCGTCACCTTAACGCTAACTTTATATTTAACGAGAAAAACAGTATTTTGATTTTTCTGGGGCAAATCAGCAAAAAATTTGTGATCGCGCGAAAATGAAGAAAAAATTTAAATTGAGAAAGGGGGGGGGGATGACAGGAAAAATAAGGAAGCAAAAATAAGAGATTTGTGGTAAATGATGGAAATAAATGAAAAAATTATATAAATTATTGAAATGTGTTAAATGATTATTTTGTTTGAAAATATTTTAACAATTTTAAATAGAGGCTAGGCAACAGAGATCAATTAGGAATATCTACTAATTTTCTCTGTCAGAAATTAATTGGAAAAGGAATTCATTGACAATAGAGAGATTCTCTCCCATGAGATTACATCCCGTAAACTCAAATCCATGTCTCTTTTATTAAACCCAATTTTTAAGTCAGTGAATCCATTTTTGTAAATTATTTTTATATTGGATAAAATTAAAAAAAATAAAAATCAGATAAATATAATATTTTATTAGTAAAATAAACAATTTACCATTTTGTTGTGAATATTGTCTATTTTGTTGTTGAATTGCCAACATTTGCCGTTGCTCATTTGATTGGACACCCGATAATGGCTGCAATGAATGGACAAGTCCAACGTTGATTTTTTTAATATTTTTGTTATTGGGTGGATGTGGGGGCAAAATAATTCGTTGAGAGGATAATTGAAAAGCTGAATGACGACGAACTATTTTTGCTGCCGTTCTATTAACTGGTGGTCCAACGGGAGAGGAAGAAACACCAGACGAAGAATTTGCCTGAAATTGAAAAATAAATTAAAAAGACTTTATTTTTTATCACAAATTCTTTTAAAAAACCCCCTTCACACACCTTAGCACTACGTACACTTCCACCACCTTCTTCATCTTGTTCTTCTTCATCCTCTTCATTATCCTGATCTGTTTCTGTACAAATATTTGTATTTTTAAGTAAAATTTGTTTATCATTTGATTCTTTATCATTTTTGAGCAAATTTTGTAGATGACAACGATCATTCCTTTAATTAAATAATTAAATATATGTTTTTTGATGTTAATTATAAAAATTTAACATATTACTTAATAAAATAACGTTTGAATGTTTTAATTAATTTTAAAAATTAGCAGTCGAATCCGGGTGTTAAATGACACCGATATGAAAATAACAGAAATGGGTGGTTTCAATTAGGTAAGTAGAAGAAGCCTAAAAATATGAACCAGAACACAGATAATTTATAATCAGAAATACGTAAAAAGAATGTCAATATATTATTATACTTTTCAGAAGTCTCCTCCTCTACTATTTGTTCATTCCATTCATTTTCTCCTTCCTCTTCATTTTCTCTTTCAATTCTTTGAAATACAGAAACGGCAGCACCTCCATCCGGATGTAATAAAGCCGAACATGCAGAACCTCTAGCAGATGTTGTAGCAGAAGAATTATTAGAACAAAATAAACTTTCCTCTCCCTCTTCTCCTTCCCCTCCTTCTTCTCCCTCTTCTTCATAATAATTAAATTTTTCATTAAAATCTCCAAAAGTTCCCAACATTTCTAAAGAATTATGTCTACTTGCCCCATCAGAAGAGCATAAAGAATATGAAGCAGTAAATAAAGGAAGTGGGGGTAACAAAGAAGTATTTTCGTTATTATTTTGTTGAAATGCTCGTAATAAAATTAAATCGAAACGAGAAAGTTGTTTTTGTTGTTGTTTTTTCTTTTTAAAACTTTCTCTGTTTATTTTTGTTAAACTTAAATTTGGCCAAATTTTTGATGATTTTATGTTTGTTTTAAAAGAATCTTTTAATTCCTCCTTTTCTTCTTCTTCTTCATTATTTTGTTGTAATTTTAATAAAGATTCTGTTAATATTGGGGAAGAACAAAGAAAACGATCAGAAAGTGAAGGGGATTTTTGTGTTGTTTTTGATAAATTTAAACATTTATTGTCCATTTAATTTAATTTCTTTTAAATTTTTAATAATTAAATAAGGCTGTATTGTGATTAAAATGTACCCCCCCCCTCCCCATAAAGAAGTATTTAAATTAAATAATTTTTAGTAATGAGGATTTTATTTAAAAATAAAGAAAAATCAAAATATTGTGAAAGTAAAATAAAAAAAATTTATTTATTTATTTATTCACCCATCCAAAATTAATTAATATGAATGGAATAATTTAGTGTTAATATTTTTTATTAGAAAGAAAAGACTACTATTATTTATTATACAGTTGGATAAATAATAATAATTTTTATATAAAAAATAAAATTTTGAAATTTTCTTAAAATTAAGGGAAGGATTAAATTGAATTTAAAAAATAAAAATTACCCAAATATTTTTTTATAATTTTGATTAACCTAAAGAGATATTTAATTTAAACAAAAATATCTTTACTACGAAAGAATTTTCGGAAACAGATTTTTTGGTAAAAAATTGAAGAAAAAAGGTGAGAATATACGAGAAAAAATAAAAAAAGAAAGTAGTTTAGGTCACACAAATCAAACAATAAAAATTTATTTGTAAAGCGGAAAAGTGTAAAAAGAAGAAGCAAAAAGAAGGGGAAATAATAAACAAAAAATCAACCACAGCAATCCATTATTTTTGTGTTTAGTACAAAAATTCTAAACGAGAAAAAAAAGAAGAAATTGCCGAAAAAAAGGAGAAAAAATAATAAAAAAATTGAGAGGGAAAAGATGATGAGGAATGAGTAATTTTTGGTGTATTTATTATAGGCCATCATTGAGAATGAATAAGGGGAAATATGAGAAAAAATCCTTTAAAAATTTTGTATAAAAAGGTAAAAAAAGATATTTTTTAAATAAATTATGATTATGTTAAAAGGATTTTAAGATTTTTAGAAATTAAAAGATTAAGTTAGGGCTGTTAATAGGTGGAACTTTTAAATTAAAATCTGGGTAATTTATACAAAAAAGGACGGGAATTTAATAATAATTATTCACTATTCCAAAATTTCAAAACCACTACATATTCCAATATTCCAAAATCTCGATCCAGATTTTATGTCGAAATTCCGATACCGCCCAATTCTACAAAATATTAAAAAATAATTTATCCAAACTTAACGAAAATTAAAATGAGATGAATTGATAAAAATGATAATTTAATTTTAATAAAAAATATTTGTGGCCTAATCTATTGATTTAAGAAAAATATTTTAAAAAAAAATAAAAATTATAATTTTTGTGGTTAAATATTTAATAATTTTGGGTAAAAGGTCACCAAAATAAATATTCTGAGAAGGAGAATGGTTTGGAAGAAAAATGGTTGAAGGTTATATAAAAAAGTGTTTTAAAGGTGGAAAAAAGTGTTTAGAAGGTAAAATAGCTGTGTTGAAGAAAGAAAAGATCAATTTAGAGTGGCGAAGAAACAAAACTTTTTTTTGTTGGAAGAGGTTAAAATGTTCGGGGAAAAGGTAGGGAATAAATGGAGGGTTTTGGTTATTGTTTTAGGTATATGCCAAAAAATAAATTGATGAAAATAAAGAAAATACAAAAAATTTATAAATACCAGAAATCTGAAATTATTTAACTAAGAATATTCTCAAAATTGGAATAAACGGAAGTAACGGGAGAATAAAGAACGATATCTAAGGGTCAGAAAAGAATTGAGAAACAGTAAAGAAGAATATAGTCAAAAAAGATTTTTTTATCATTTTCCCTCATTATCGGAAGGCAATTTAAAAAAATAAAAGGAATTTAGGTAGTCGTTGATTTAATTCAAAATAAAAAAAAAGAGAGAGTCTTTGTCTGTATTTTGACATTTATTTTTTAAATTTCTTCATTCAAGTTAAGGATTATTAGTTAATTATTGGTCTTTTAAATTAAAAAAATTATTATTAATTATTTAATTAAATAAATTAATTTAATAAATGAAAAATTGTTTTAGGAGAGAAAACAAAATAAAATAAATTTATTTTATTTATTTATTGGTGGTAATAAAATAAATAAAAAAATGATGAAACAGCAATAAGTATTTGTTGATTATTTTGTGAATTGCTTGTCTCAAAATTTTTGTTTTTTTTTATAAAAAATTTATTGCGTTAAATGCATTTTTGGTAATAAAAAATATTTATTTTTTTCTATTGATGTGGCTGATTATTATGAGTCAAAAATTCAATGAAGGAATTTTTAACAAAAAATCAATAAATTAATTTTGACAAATTATTTTTTTTAATTAAAAATATTTATTAACTCTTTAGTAAATTAAATACAGAAAAATATTTAAAACAGATTTTAAAAATCTTGGAAGGAATAGAAGGAAAATAGCTGAACAGTTTATATAATAAAAAAGTTTTAAAATATGTATGTATGTATTATCTCCAAATATGATCTAGGTAGCTTTCTTAAAAATATGAGTAAATTGAACTTAGAGATTTTAGAAGTTCGAGTTTAAAATAATCATATCCTCAATTTAATTAATTTGCTTTGTAATTTTAGACTCATTTTATTTTATCCAATAATGTGGAAAAGTATGAACTCCAAGTTTTACATAAAACTTCAAAATCTGGATATGAAAGAAATGGGAGACTTTTAGTCATAGTTTAATTAATGCTGATTAAGAAATAGGAAAGAAATTTAAAAAACAGGGAATTCCAGAACTCGAAAAAATAAACAATAATCCCATTTCGGTTACAATCCTGCCTATCGGTCTCCTTTTGGGTGGGATTGAAATTCTTCTGATTATTTCCCGACAAATTTGACTCAAATTAATATTTAGTAATTATTATATTTAATTAAGAATTATTTTTAGAATTTTTTATTTAAATATATAAAGCAATAAAAAATATTCAAATAAAAATTTTAATAATTTCACAATAATAAATTTATTTATTATTGTAGAAACATGACCACTAATATAAATATACTTAATTTTTATTTAAAACTCAAGACTTTATTTAAAAAAAGAGAAAATATATAGAATGTTTATATATAAATAGATTTTTCTTATCAATTTATTTGCCAAAATTAATTAAAAATATTTTATTTTAATATTTTTAGGAATGTTTTAAAACAAAAAATAATTTAAAAGAAAAATAAATATTTGATTTTTAATTTAAATTTAAAAAACCAACAAAGCTTCTCGTAGAGAATTAGCAACAGCAATTTCTAATTTATCCAAAGCTTGTAGGGCTGTTAGTGTACAAATTGACTTAGTTGTTTTTGTATCCGTAGAATTGGAAACTGAAGAGGAAGAAGTAAAATTTGTACCTAAAATTAATTAATTCTTAATTTAAATTTTTCTTTCAAAAAAAAACTTTTAATAGAATTAACAAGTTGTCCAGTAGGTAATAGAACATTGCAAGTTTTGAATAAACGAGAATGTCTAGAAAGTAAATCTTTAATTGACTGAGAAACTAAAGCTAAAGCTGAATGAATTTGTAAATAATTTGAAGTTGTTGTTGTTGTGACTGTTTTGTTATTTTCATTTAAATTATTTTTTGCTGTTTGGACTTTTAAAATGTTAGAAAATATTTTAAAAAAATTAAAATACCTTCAGACTTTTCTGAATCATTTATAATTTTTTGGCAACAATTTAAAGCTGATCTAAGTCTACCAACGTGTGCTGTAAATCTTTCGATGTCAGAAAGAAGAAGAGAATTGAGTGGCTTTAAATTTTAAATTAAAAAACACAAAAAGAATTTTGAATTAATTTTTAAGAAAAATATATTTGTTTGCTAATTAATTTTTAAAATTTACTAATTGTTCAGAATCTTCTATTCCAGAGGAACGGTCATAGTTTGAATCTGTATCTTCTGAGGAAGAGGAAGAGAAACGGGACGGAGAATAATTATTAGTAGAATTACGTTGCATTTTTTAAAAAGGAAATAATTTTTTTTGTTTTAAATTTACTTCAAATATCAAATAAAAAAAAGAGAATATTTATGTATTGTGGATTGATTATTTAAATTTTGCAAAGAAATAAATTTCCCTCTCAAGGTTTTTTAAAAATATTTTTTAATTACTAAAAATTATTAAAATTAAAAATAATAAATATATTCTCCTTTTAATTAAAGTTCTCCCTGTTAATTATTTAGTAAATCAATTTTGCGTTTTTTCGTTAAGTGATAAATTAAAAAATTTTGGTAAGAAAATTAGTTTTATGCTCTCTTTAAATGTGGAATTTTGAAGGAAGGGAAGGAGGAAAGATTTTCCTACAGAAAAAGTTTTTAGTTTAAAGAATTTCTTCAAAAATTAAAATTCTTACCAAATATTGGACGATGTTTAGGAATTCTTATGCAAAATTTTGTTAAAAGGAGGGTAGAGAGATAATTTGATATTTATTTAAAGGAAATGTTTTAAAAGAAAAAAAGAATAGTTTCAAAAAAGTTTAGCACCATCTAGATATGCGCTATCTTTTTCCTGAGTGATCAGGTCTGATCACATATGAAAAGTTACAAGTCGATAAGGACAAGAAGTTGTTATTTAAGCGATATCTTTTCCCAGTTGGGAAAAAGATAGCGCTTATCGAGAGCTTACGAACGATATAAGATTCATTCAGATTAGATTGAGCATAAAAAATATATCCTATCAAATTAGGAAAAAAGGAGAGGGGGGGATAACAGAAAAGTACCAATAATTAAAATATTTTTGTCAAAGAAAATAATTTTCCCAAAAAAATTATTTATTAAAGACCAATTTAATTTTTTAACAGAATTAAAAATCAGAATTAATTATAATTTCTTTTCTCTTAACATAAAAATATTTCCGTTGCCCCCAATTTTAATAAGCCAGTTTAATATTTATTTTTTTTAGATTTATTTATTTTTTATTTGGGCGCCACCCATCCTCCAAAAATTCCTTTTAATGCTCTTCTCTCTATTTATTTATTAAACCTGTTTTTATTTATTTAATTTTAATAATTCTCTTCTTTTATTTTTTTCTCTACTTATTATCCCGCAAACACGCGCCAAATTTGCGGAAATGAAAGAAAA